AGGGCGTAAAAAGAAGAACCCCCGGGACAAGACACAAAGGGTCGAGGGAGCCGATTGGTTAAACACAAGGGACCCAGATGATGGGAACAGGTGGTGACAAAAAGGGCACACGACGGAATAAAACCAAACATAACCAAACAGAAACATAACAAAATCCATTTTTTTTCTTTTAACCTTTATGAAACGCCTTTAAAACTTTTACTGTGGGCAGAACAAATACAGTCAAACCTCGGTTTTCGAACGTCTCTGTTGTCGAACAAATCGGTTTTCGACCAAAAATTTCAAGTTTTTTATGCCTCGGATTACGACCGAAAATCGGTTCTTGACCAATCTGAGCGCACTTGAATGCGCCATTTGACTCCTCTCGCCTTCCATACACGAGGAAGTGACGCTTCCTCGGCTAGACGAGGAAGTGACGCTTCCTCATGTAGCGTTCCATCGTGAGCAGATGTGTTCAATAAAGATTTTTTTAAAAAAAGAGCGTGGTTTCGGTTTCGAACATATCGGTTTTCAAACAGCCTTCTGGAACGGATTATAGTCGAAAACCGAGTTATGACTGTACTGTTCAATGAAATGATCCATTCCATGCTCAAACTGCTGCCATTGATTGTCCCTAATATTCTCCCATGAAAGCCCACCGCCTCATTTCTGACATTTTCTGTCCTCCTTCAGGTCCGTGGGGTCGATGCATGGGCAGTGAGTGCGGCCCGGGAGGTAGCCAGAGCAGAGCGGTATGGTGCGCCCACTCCGAAGGTTGGACCACCCTACAAACGAACTGCGACCAGGCAGAACGGCCCAACAACCAACAAAGCTGCTTTCGAGTGTGTGACTGGCACAAAGACCAATATGACTGGCAGCTAGGAGCATGGAACCAATGCGTCCCTGTGTCAATGCGCAGTACGGGGGTGCAACGCCCCACTGTGTGCACCCGGGGCGAGGAGGGGATACAGACCCGTGAGGTGGGCTGTGTCCAGAAAGTGAATGGTGAGCCAGCAGAGGATGCAATCTGTGAATACTTTGAACCCAAACCCCGTCTCGAGCAGGCCTGTCTCATCCCCTGTCCTCGGGATTGTGTGTTGTCGGAGTTCAGTCCATGGACACAGTGTTCGAAGACTTGTGGGATGGGCTTGCAGAACAGAATTCGCATTGTCCTTGCTCCACCGTTATTTGACGGGGCAGCCTGTTTAAACTTGACAGAGTTTCAGACATGCCAACCAGGACCGTGCGAGGGAGAGGAGAGCCTGTACAGTCTTCGGGTCGGATCTTGGGGTCCCTGCTCTGTGCCAATCTCAAGACAAGCCAGACAAGCCAATGAGGGAGACACGACATCCAAAGGAAATGAGAAACCGCCCAAAAAGGAGGGGAAAAAGCAGTCCAGAAGAATGAACAAACAGAGCCAAGAGGGCGGCAAACAGCCCAATGAGGAGGACACGAGGTCCATCCAGAGTGACGAACTTTCCAAAGAGGGAGACAAACAACACAAGTCCAGCAGGAAATTAGGCAAGGCAAACAGAAAACACGACAGACCATCCCATCAGGCAGACCGGCCCAAACGGCAGAGAAAGGCTAAAAACAAAGACAAACGAGAGAAAGTCAGAGAGAAAGTCCGAGAGAGGTTGAGAGAAAGGGCAAGGGTCAAGGATCCCGAGACCCGAGAGCTCATCAAAAAGAAACGCAACAGGAACCGGAAGAACCGCCCTGGAGGAAAATTCTGGGATTTGCAAATTGGCTACCAGACAAGAGAAGTCACCTGTGTGCACAAGAGTGGCAGTGTTGAAGCTCTAAGGTAAGAAGAGAATTATATTCTACCCTATCACCTTGTTCTCCAATGCCATAATGTAATGCTGACTCTTTTAGGACTAGTGATATCGCAATATGCATTTTTTTCCCTCGTTTGTATCAAATTCCTTTTATCTTTACCTGCCATCCATCTCTGCTGTTGCTATCTTACCCTAGTCCAATTGAGACTGATGGTCACCCTATACAGTGAAACTCCTCTACAACGAAATCATGTTTGCAGCAAGAAATTTTTCACAACTGGGGGTTTTTCACTGTAGCAAATTTGATCTCAGATGCAAACACACACACACACACGCACGCACACACACACACACACACACACACACACACACACACACACACACACACACACACACACACACACACACACAAACGTAAGTGTACTCTTTATTTTTATTCCAATAGTGCATAAGTATGAGCATGCACTTATTTGACACTTCATATAGTCAGTGTAGAAAGAAAAAAAAGGAAAGAAATTGCGAAATTTACAATCAGCATTCACTTTCACTTACATCAATTTCTTTGATAACGTCTTTTATTTTGCTTCCGCCGTCTTTCATCTTGATCCCTTTACCCTCTCTTCCAGCGTCAGAGCTCTTCTTGTCTTAGCTGCTTGACATCCAAAGGTCCGTTTTGTAGCCATTTTAGCGATGCAACGTTCCTGCTGCGTCTGAAACTAAAAATAACAAATACTTCCTGGACTACTGCGCATGTGTAAACCAGTGTGGTGGTTGCTGTTGCCGTTTCCGAACAAAGCAGTAGAGGTCGCTGTTGGAATAGACTTCGTTGTAGTGAATCTCGTCGCGAGGAAAGAGGAGAGAAAAAGATTTCGTACAACGCAACAGGGGTTTTTCTCGTTGGATGGGGGCAGGAAAGTGGGAATGGTGTTCATGCATGAAGATTTTTTCACACAAGGGGGTTTTTCGCCCATGTCGTTGTAGAGGAGTTTCACTGTACTGATTGTGGGTTCCCTTTCTTTCTTATGTGGAGAGCTAAAATTCAGTTATTATACCATATAAATTTATGACATTAAAAATTAAATATCGATATTAAATATATATATTAAATATGAGCGTGACAGTCGTGAGGATAAGCGGTTCGGATAATGGACGGATGGATAGTACATTAAATTTAATGTTAAAATGAAAGTTTGCCTTTTTTTTTTACAACCCTTAAGTACTGGTCAAAGTCTGTACGATGTGAAAAAAAATTCAGTTGGATCCTTGTATAATACCCTCTTGACTTTTTTTTTTCCTTGGGAAATGATGGCATTGATATATTTAACGAAACAATGAAATGAAATAAATGAATATAAACCAAATAAATATAAAAAAATAAATAAAAAAATCAGGAATGCAGAAGTGTTCAACTCATCCACTTTGCTGTCCTGAGCCTGAAATGATAAAAGATTTCAACTTGTCAGTCTGAGAAGAGGAGGTGTAACTCGCCTTGGTTGATTCCAATGCAAAATGTGCAGATTGGTTGACATTCGAAAAGATCGTAGAAATGGCATAGCTATACGGTTCATCGGCTATAAAATGTCCTTCACCTGTCAAAAATATTCATTAAGTTAGCGGTCATAGAACCAAAAGGTATAAAGGTTTTCTTTCTATCTTAAACCTTTTCTGTAATCTGCAGCCATTGCTCAAGGAGCTTGTCACAAGTACTAATGACGATTTATGGATCATATTAAAAATTAATGGCATTCCATGAAGGCTATCGTATTTTAATTCTTGTCAAATATAACTCTCGCATTTCTTATTTGACGGTTTCATTTCCTTCTGCGTTATTCTGTGATTGTGTTACATTTCATGACACCGTTTGACAGGTCTCCTGAATTTAAACAGCAGTATTTCTGGTCTTATATTTCTGGATACACTGGACGTTCTGCAATGTCCATTCAAAGACAAACATACAGTCGTACTTTCTTTTTTTCTGTCTCTTCAGTGAGTTCAATATTCACGCGGTCTTTGCTCGGAGGTGAAATGGCCTCGTTCTGTCTGACAAGACTTGCTCAGCTTTAATGGAGGCCACTGAGCAATGACAATTACTCCCTCAGAAAAATCAAGACGTACACAATGCGTTTCCTTATTAACGTCAAAGACAAGGTCAAACTTCAAGCTACGAACGCTTGTCATAATCCAGGGTCAAAATGATGATGCTTTCAAGTTACAGACGCAGATTGTGTTATATTCGTCCCAAAAATCAGACATGTAGCACGATTCAAAGCTGGGAAGAGCCTTGCTTAACTTATTCACTCCCAAAGACGTTTTTAAACGTCTTTTCAGACTTGGTCCAGAATTGGCTGGTACTGAATGAGTTTTAATGATGACTCCTCTTTTTCTCAAAGTAAAATGGATCGCGACCTTTTATAGTATATACAGTCGCACTAACTACGAAACAGGAGTTACTTGGCAGTCAATAGGCGTCACCATATTCAAAAGACGTGCTGTGACATATCAATCATCCAGGCACCTGGGGGGTCCAATGAGATTTAAGGAAGTTCAAGTGCTACCAGGGGTTCCATTCTAGGTCTGCCTCTGGCAGTCAGAGTCCTCCCAGGGTGAAGCAGGAATAGTTAACGCATGAAGAAAACGCTTGAGTTGACAAAAAGTCCTCGAGCCTCCCAGGGTGAAGCAGGAATAGTTAACGCATGAAAAATGCTTGAGTTGACAAAAAGTCCTCGATCTCATGTATCCAATTTGAATGTACGGATCAGAGCAGAGACACTGATTAAATGATGTATCCAATTTGAATGTACGGATCAGAGCAGAGACTCTGATTAAATTATCTCAACTCAACTGTATTTATAGAGCACTTTAAAACAACTACCACTGTATACAAAGTGCTGTGCATGGAGCAAAAATAACTCATGCAACATAAACAATAAATAAAACAAACAAATGAATAAGAGAGACAGTAGAAAGCCCCAGAAGAGTCAAACTAAAAATCAAGTCTCATGCTGAGTCAAAAACAAAAGAATAAAAATGAGTTATAAAACGAGTTTTAACAATGGGCACCAAGGAGGGACCAGCAACGGAAAAAGCTCGATCCCCTTTGTCTAGTCCGCAGACCTGAGGCACTGGGCAGGTTCGTAGGGGCGGATGAGCTCAGAGAGGTAAGGTGAGGCGAGGCCATTTAAAGATTCGAAAACAAATAATAGGATCTTAAAAAGAACTCTGAAATGTATTGGGAGTCAGGGAAAAGATGCCAGTGTTGGAGTTATGTTCTCCCTCTTACGAGTACAAATCAAGAGGCCATCAGCAGCATTCTGGACCAACTGGAAACGCTTCATGGAGGATTGGCTGACTCCAAAGTAAAGTGCATTACAGGAATCCAGCCGAGATGTGCCGAAAGCATTAATTACTGTTTTAAAGTGCTGTTGAGAATGGAGAGGCTTGGCTTTAGCCAGCTGCCTAAAATGTAAGAAGCTGGAATTAACAAAGGCACCAATTTACCGGTCCAATTAAAAATCACTTTCCAGTTTTAGACCCAATTTTGAGACTGTTGGCTTTGCAATATCTGCAGTTGGACTATGGAGAGTCATTCCCTCCCAAAATCAGACTTTGGCAAAATATGATTTAGGCATTTATGTTGTTGACGTGATGATCCTTCTGTAAGTATGGCTTGGCCTTTCACTGACGCGCGTTGGACACACCCACCATGAGTAACCTGGGAATCTGTGCGCGACCTGAAGAGATGTGACTCCCTGAAGTCTGGCTATAAATCATGTAGCATATATTTTACCTGACTTGTGAATGTCTTTCAAATCCATTTGAAAGAAATGGCACACTTTCGATACTTTGTCCACGCATCTGATGAGACAATTTATGAGGAAGTAAGTGTGAAAACTCAATGGAGAACTCCAACCTCCTTAGTATGTTCTGAAACATTTTCACATTTAAAAAAATACTAGACTGCGCCATTGACCGAGGACAGAGTATATTTGATCAGCATTGTTACCCTACCTTGCCAAGTTGGATATGTTCATGTTCCTGTCAAAAAACTGGGAAAAAAAATTGTCAAAAAAAGTATTTGAATTTCATTCAAACTTAAATGTCTTGAAAGCAAAATAATCGATGCTTTGCCTCTGTCATTTTCAGCCTGTGCTCTCATGAGTCGCTGCCAGTGACCTACCAAGCGTGTGTTGTAACGAAAGACTGCGATGTGACCGACTGGTCTGAATGGTCGGCTTGCTCTAAGGAGTGCTATGACCCCAACGGGCCCAAGGGTGAGCAGACCCGCACGCGAAAAGTGAGTCAGTTCCCCGTTGGAGGAGGGGCTGAGTGTCCGGAACTGGAGGAGAACCAGGCATGCAGTCCTGAAGGAGAAACCGTGCCACCCTGTATTGTGTAAGTTGCCAGATTTTTTTTTAAGCGCACAAATATCGCCTTTTAGAATTCCCCCACCCCAACCCCACATCTATTGACAGTTCTGTCTTGTTGGACACCTTTGCTCTACCGAGTGACATTTGAGTTTTGTTTTTTTTTTTCCTATAGCAACAGCATATCATCTACCTCTACCAGCCTTTTTACTGTAACATTTTTGATTTGAAATGTATTTATTTTTTTTAATTTCGAATGTAATATACGCCATTTGCAAGACATTGATTGCAAGACATTTGACCAAAGCCTCTGCTTTGAGTGCCAACGTAGTCATTTATTTATTCCCCACATCTGTTTGCCGAGATTGTAACAAAAAGTCATAATGGAATTCCAAAGACATTTCAGCAGTGATACATGCTCAAAAATGAAAAAAAAAAAAAACAAAAAAAATACCAAAATAAAAACAATAAACATGCCAAATATTTACTATTATCTCAAACAGATCTTTTTCTACTTTGTGCTGTCATTTACATAATTCAACATGAAAATACAATTATAAAATCGAAAATTCTTTTCATGTCCTGAATAAAGTATCTTTGTATCTATCAATGTATTATCTATCTAAAAAGAAATCTATTTAACCCGTGCATATGAATACTTTATTGGGTGAAATGTATATTTGTAGATGAAGCATTACTATACCAACTTTAGCTCGCTAGAAATCCGGTCACTAAACACATTGGCGCAATTAAAGATATGGTTAAGAAAAGAATGACTTGACTGCATCTGTTTAAATAAATATGGTGACATATTTGGTAATGCATTGAATGGCGATCGGACTCCACAAACGTAGACACAAACAAAAGTCCGTTAAAAAAAAAAAAAAATATATATATATATATATATATATATTGATTTGAAGCGCAACAACAAAGTATGAACTGAAATTGCTGGTCAAAAGAACCGGGAAAACAATACATGAACAGAAAGCACTTGCAAAGGCAAGGAAAAAGAAACTCTGAGATATAAACGAAATGACTAAAGTCCAATTTAATAAAAACAAAGACATAAGTCAGATCAAAGACAAAAAAAACCCCATAAATACTGACAATGCGAGAGGCCAGAGTGCAAATACGACAAATGACAAGATCGAGAGGTCTAGAAAACAACACTTGAGCAAGAGCAGCAACAAGGTCAATAATCTGACGCACACTTGGTGCTTGGGTAGTACTTAAGTACATGGCTTAACATGATGATCAAATTGACAGCAGGTGTGCACGCTGGAGGAAAAGCCCTCCACTGCCACCTGCTGGAGACACGCAAGAACACGATCATGACAAATGTATCCTTCTCATAGAACTGACCATAACACCTGCAGCCATATCAGCCATCAACTAATTCTGCGACCTAATTTTTGATAGACAGTAGGTGGGCAGATATGTGCTTTGACCTTGGTGCTATATTTTCTGTATTTCACCAAACACGATGCCCCCCCCCCCCCCCCCTATACTATCCCCTCCCCCGAGGGCTTTTGTAAGACAGCACTTGTGAGAAGGGGGGGAAGCCCATTCATAAATATGGCCCCTTTTATAGGTGACCTCAAAGGAATTCCTTGATCAGCAGAAATGGGAGCAGGATTTACAATTTTCTGACCTAAGGATTGGAGTAGCCATGTGTTATTGTTGATTCAAACTTCCGTAAATTGATTGAACCGAATGCAGCAAGCTTCAATGAGCAGTCTTTTTGCTCGGTTGACATTGAGACACTCCAGTGGAAGTCCTAAGGCTTTATGTAAACACAACTCAAGTTCAATAACAAAGAAGCCTCAATAGCCACTAGACAGTGTAGCTTAACGAAAACAACAAGTACAGTGGGATCTCTACTTCTGAAATTAATTGGTTCTGGAAGAAATTCCTTATTTTGTAAGTCGAGACGCGTTTTCCATGTACATGCCCTAATCCGTTCCAAGCCCCCCCCCCCAAAAAAATTTAGAAAACACAAATGTTTTCTAAAGCATAAACATGCATCAAAATATGTAACAAATACATGTTACAATTAGAATATTGCACAATAAATGAGAGTTGTGCATAGTGTAAAAAACAAAGAATAAAGAATAAAAATGGTCATTTAACTTTTAACTGTGTCCTCATCGTTTTTTGCCCTCTTTAGTTCTCTCTCAGAAGTGTTTTTTTTGCCTGGCATTTTGTAAAGAACTGATCCAAGGACATTTGCTCTTTTCGGCTTTTAACAATCCTTTGAAAATGTCCAAAACAAAGATTAGTGTAGTGAGCAAACGCCTGACTGGTGAACACTTTTTCTGGGTGATTCGCATTTACGTCAACCGAGGGGCGGATGACGAGGACGCTGTATAGACACAGATCTATCTATCTACACCAGGCATGTCCAGCTCTAGGCCTGGAGGGCCACCGTCCTGCCTGTTTTCCATCTCTTCCGGCTGTAACACACCTGATTCAGATGATCAGCTCATCATCCAGCTCGGAATTAGCAATAGAATGATCCTGATTACTTGAATCAGGTGTGTTGCTGGACAGTGGCCCTTGAGGACCGAGTTTGGACACCCCTGATCTACACACATAGACACGTTCGGGAGAGGTTCCTCTTAGCCAATGGGATGCCAGGATGGTGCTCGGGAATAGCCAATGGCAGAGCAGTTATAAATACAGTCAAACCTCGGTTTTCGAACGTCTCTGTTCTCGACCAAATCGGTTTGAGACCAAAAATTTTGAGTTTTTCATGCCTTGGATTACGACCGAAAATCGGTTCTCGACCAAACTGAGCGCACTTGAATGCGCCACTTGACTCCTCTCGCCTTCCTTGCGCGAGGAAGTGATGCTTCCTCGGGTAGACGAGGAAGTGACGCTTCCTCGTGTAGCGTTCCATTGTGAGCAGACGTGTTCAATAAAGATTTTTTTTTTTTTAAAAAAGAGCGTGGTTTCGGTTTTCGAACAAATCGCTTTTCGAACAGCCTTTTGGAATGGATTATGGTCGAAAACCGAGGTATGACTGTATGTTGCGCTCAGGAAACTCGGGGCCCATACTGTATTTTTACCATTCGTATCTTGAAATTTCTTTCGTAACAATATTTTCCAGTTGAGGCGTTTCGTGACTTTAAAATTTCATATGAAGAGACATTAGTCAGTAAAGTTGCTACATATTGGCTTTTGATCTTTTACTTGATCTGACTTGATCACCGAAATTTATTTGTATGAGACACACTATAATATGTGTCCAGATTGAGCGATCACGGTAAACCATTTCCGATCAACGTCTTTCCACAGTTACAACTGGAAGACCACCGAGTGGACGGAATGCAGGGTGGACATGTTGCTGAGCCAACAGGACCGTCGCAGAGGAAACCAGACTGGCTTGTGTGGAGGTGGCATTCAGTCCCGGGAGGTTTACTGCGTCCTGGCCGGTGAAGAGACGCCATCCGATCTCAGTTCTCTCAAGAGCAAAGAAGGTAATCGACAAGCAACATTAAATATCAACTCCACTCCACCAGTGTATTTTCTATTTTTCGATGGTGATTCATACGTCCAGAAAGGGTGCAGTGAATTTTAAATTGTCCTTGAGTTTACGGTGTTTCAATTCATATGCTGTCCAGTAATTCCACTGTGACAATTTGCGACGTATCAAAACTATTTTGGCTTGAAAAAGATTCTAAGGTTCAGCTTCGATCAGTTTTTCAGTCAAGTGGTCATCAGGGTGTGGTTGTTTGGTATTCTTTATTTGGTACCAAATCGGGATGTAAATACAGTACCTTGTGAGAATAAATGCAACAATAACACTCTGCATTACAAAAAAAAATAAAAATATCAGAATTGCCCATTCTAACAAGAAAAACGGAAAAATAATCCCCCTCTTTGCAGCTGTATTAGCGTTATCTCTTCAGAGAAGACTTTGTACAAATATTTGGGAATGTGTTCATGGAAATGTATCCAGAAGAGCTTTAAAAGGTCAAGGACGTGCAGAAGGAGATTACTGCATATGCTCACATTCCCATTTATTTTCCATTTTCTTCTTTTATTTTTCCTGTTGACTTTTTTTTTTTTTTTGTCACCGCCGCCATATTGTGAAAATCAGTTTGGAAAGAGAAACATGCTGGGTTGGCCTATGTTGGAATAAGATCATCGAGCTCTATGGTTGTCATTACACTTTTCCTCTTTGCTACCAACTGTACCCTTCTCTGATGGCATCACAAAAAATAAAAGATGCTGAGAATACACAGTCAAAGAAAAAGCGATGCATGATTGTGGAGTTAAAATGGTGTCATGAAAACGGATTTGAAAGTCGGTTTCTATTATATCGAACGGAATCGAATTGTTTCATTTTAAAATATTTAGATACCGAACAAAATGTCTTCTTTTGGAGAGATGCACACCCCTTATGTGTGTGTGTGTGTCCCCTTATGTGTGTGTGTGTGTGTGTGTGTGTATATATATATATATAAAACTACATCAAAACTCTACATCTGCCACGGCCAGTGGCAGCCAAAATAAACACAGGGGAAGCTGAGCATTTGTTTGGCGACGGCATGCAAGAGGTAGGAGTGAAAAGCGCTTTCATCAGCACACGTGTTTTCAAACAAGATGATGGGAGAACATCTGTGAAAGCTGTCAGATGGTCAAATAGTTGTTTGTGAGCTTTTACATCATCTGTTCAGTGTTGCGGGTTACACTCACACACACCCACACACGCGCACACACACTGGCACACACACACACACACACACACACACACACACACACACACACACACACACACACACACACACACGTGCGCGTATCTGAGCCATAACATCTGGTATGTCGCTTTCCCATCCATGTGTGGACCAGAGATGAGAATTGAATTGGTTTTCCCCTCATATTAATTCCGAGACGTCACCACTTTAATATATGCAAATATGCATGCAAAAGCCATGCTGAGTCGACAGCAGCTGAAAAATGAGCTTTCACCTAAATTGGTGGCATCGCTGCTTGTACGGAGGCTGGAAGTGGCTTGCTCTGATGCCTGTGCTTATTCATTGACATGATAAGTCTCAGTCCATCTGGCCAAGGAAGCCGAACTGGCGTCTTCGACTGGAAAATTCTTCAGATCATCTGCTTCCTACCAGCCACCCACTTTTATCCTGTAGTGTTATATTTCACGCTGCCAATTCGGATAACAGCATTCAGTTTCACACTTTCGATCATTTGCCGCTATAAATACTGCCGGGATGAAATGGGACACTGTCAGCTCCACCTGCAAAGCCAACCTGCTCAAGTGTGTGGAATGTGTTTCTGAGTGGTCTTGAATAGCATTAGAAGATTTCACTGGAGATATTATCAGGGTGCAAAAGATGAGGAATAAAAACACAAAATATCGAAACGCTAAAGTTTGCGGGAAATCGGACGCTGCGGTGAATGCGGATTTCAGTCTCATTGGAACTGTCATGTTGTGAGAGTTGGGTGATCATTGGATATTATTGAGTGATTTCGTAGCTTGTATGTGATTGCTTTGAGTTTAACAGTTTACATCCATATACATCAACTGGTTATCTCTAGGACTGAGACATTTCCTGTAAGATGAATAGAAATGAAATACAGGTACTTTCAGAAATAATAATAAAAGACCGTGAAAGGGAATTAGGAATACTAAAAGCCAATAAGCAAAAAAAAAAAAAAACAACAAAAAAAAAAAAACCCACTTTGTGTGTAACATAAACCAGGTGGAGCAGGTTAGCTGCAAATAGGTGCGTGTCATTATAGGTACCGTATTTTCCGCACAATAAGGCGTTGCGGATCAATCAATCAATCAGGCGCACCTTCAATGAACAGCCTAGTTTAAAACTGTTTTCATGTATAGGGTGTACCTCATTATAAGGCGCATAGAATAGAAGCTACAATAGTGGTTGCGGGTGCATTATGTGTCCACTAGATGGAATTACGCTAAACGGAATACAATACAATACAATACATCTTTATTTATGTAGAGCTTTCACAACCGCTGCAGCTGTAACAAAGCGCTTTACAGAAAATGTAATATACTACATCCAATAAATCAGAGTATTGATCTCTATATTAGGCGCATCGGATTATAAGGCGCACTGTCGGATTTTAAGAAAATTTCATGCTTTTAGGTGCGCCTTATAGTGCAGAAAATACGGTTGTTTTTAGAACTCATAGGTCCTTCAGGCCGTTATGAGTGCAAAGTTCAAACGTTAGTATCTGTGATGGTTTGGGGGTTGGTAAGTATGGGTAACTTGCTCATCTGTGAAAGTACCATTGAAGGTACACACAGGTTTTGGAGCAACATATTCTGCCAATCCAAGCAGCGTCATTTTCAAGGATGTCCCAGCTCATTTCACTAAGACAGTTCCAAACTACCTTCAGTATTTGTTGCAACAGGTTGGCTTTGTGGTAAAAGATTGTGAGTGGCTGCCAGTAGTCCAGACCTGTTTCCAATTAAAAATGTGTGTAGCACATTATAAAATGCAAAGTATGCCAAAGGAGACCGCAGACTGTTGACCAACTGAAGATGAAAAAATTCCACCCACAAAGTTTCAACAACTAGTGTGTTCAGTTCCTTAATGTTTATTGAGTGTTATAAAATGAAAGGGATGTAATGCAGCCGTAAACATGACAACCCATCCCAGCTTTTTTGGAACGTGTTGCAGGCGATACATTCAAAATGAGCAAATATTTGCAAAAACAATAAACTTCATTTGTTTTAATATTAAATATCTCGGATTATTGGTGCATTCAATTGAATCCAAAAGGATTTGCAAACCATTGTATTTCATTTTGAAATACATTTGAAACAATGTCCCAACTTCCCTGAAATTGGAGTTTAATAAAAATAAGTACTTTTTCTTCATTTTGGACTCTGTGCTTCCGTAAACAAAATACAATGCGGAGCAGAATGCTTGCTGCTGTGTGCCATGCTGGAAGGGAAGACTTCAATAGAAACACAAGCCACAAAGCAGAGGACAAATACAAGCTGATAAATGTTGAAAAAATAGAAGTCCCTAAATGGATACAGGATTTGTGGGTTCAAAGTCACCCTGTGCTTGTTGAGAATCAGCTGTCAGTACAAGGTCTTTGCATATGTCCCTAATTAATAATTGTCATAATAGATATCCCTTTTAATTTTTCATGGCAAACCATGTCTCTTTTAATAATTAATAAAGCATACTATTCATGGGTGAATGTAGGTGTTACTTCAACAGTTCACCAATCTCTTTTCCTTCAAAGAAGCAACCTCGCCACTGGGAGAGCAAACCCTGAAATGGGGGTTGGAACAGTTGTGCCACTCTGATGCCACAGAGCCTAACATCCTAACATGGAAAGAAAATGAATGTTTGTTCAGCCACCAGTCTCAGAGGATCCTAATTTGGCAGCTGGAAGTAGAGCACAATGAAACCAAGACCATCTGGTAGACTGGCACAGTGTTACCTGGTCAAGGTTAGCACGTGCTGAGTTTTCCATTCATCAAGCTTTGTTGTGGTTGTGTGCAGCTGTTTGACTGAACAAGGAGAACAAAGGAACTATTGTCTTCCAAACACTAGTTATGAGCCATGCCACCGCATCTGAGGAAAATCAACCACTCAGAGAAAGAAGGTGTGACGCACAAAGTGTCAACATTGTGATGTAATTACTACAGTGAAACTCCTCTACAACTAAATCATGTTTGCAGCAAGAAATTTTTTCACAACAGGGGACTTATCACTGTAGCAAATTTGATCTCAGACGTAAACATGAACAAACACAAAGAACATATATGTGTACTTTTTATTTTATTCCAATTGTGCATAAGTATGAGCATACACTTATTTGACACTTCATATAGCCAGCGTAGAAAGAAAAACAGGGAAAGAAATTGCAAAATTTACGATAAGCATTTACTTTCACTTATTTCAATTTATTGCATAATGTCTATTATTTTGCTTCCTTCATCTTTCATTTGTATTACCTTTATCCTGTCTTCAAGCGTTAAAGCTTTTCTTTTCTTAACTCCTTGGCATGCAAAGGTCTGTTTTGTCGCCATTTTAGCAAGGAAACGTTCGTGCTGCGTCTGAAACAAATACTTCCTGTACTACTGCGCATGTGTAAACCAGTGTGGTGGTTGCTGTTACCATTTCTGAACGAAGCAGTAGAGGCAAGAGTAGAGAAAAAGATTTCGTATCACGGAACAGGGGGACTTTTCGTTGTAGTGGGAGCAGAAAAGTGGGAATGGCTTACATGCATGACATTTTTTTCACACTAGGGGGTATTTTCGCCCATGTAGGTTTCATTGTAGAGGAGTTTCACTGTATCAGTCAATCTGAACATTTGGGAAATAACTCCTTTTTTTTTTTTTTTTTTTGGTTAAATTGCAAACCTCCCTTTTAAGGATACACCCAAAAAAGTGTCGCGAGAAGCCGTTCCAAACAAAAGTTATTTGCTCATTCAGCACACAAAAAAATATGTTTACGTTGGATAAACTTAATATCGTACTAACACAGCAATGTGCAGTTGGATAGAAAAAGTTCTGTTTTTTGTTGTTGGCAATATAGTGGACCGTCGCAGAGTCACATATGTGTGGATTTATTTCCATTTTTTCCCCAGTATTTTTATTTAGATATGTATTTATTTTTTGGTTGAGTAGGTGGGGCTGATTTATTTATTAATTTTTTTGAAGACCTATCACTTGTTCCCGTTAAATGGGCAATGAAGGGCATATCAGAAGTGCACACATTTAAGTGATACCATTAAAAGATGCGCCTTGAGCCAAGAAGAAGGTAAATTACATCTGAATGAGTTCCGAGTCCTGTTGTGGCACAGCAATAATGATTCATCAGCCTGATGACCTTGCAGAGAGTCACCTACCGTTGTTCTGAGCCACCGAGAAACCCGCCAACATGAAAGTGATGATAATTTAAGAAAATAATAAATCTTCATGAATCGTCAGTGGAAACCTGGCTATTGTCGGTTTGGGGAATTGAAATGTAGTGTAAAGTGTAAGTTAATTGTAATTGTATTGCATAAATGTTGTTTCTAAAGAATAGTGGGGCATGTGGTTTGTCCTGATGAACAATGAGAATTTTAAGTAACTGGAAACTGAAGTACAGCAGTAATATCAGTTTCAGATTTCCAGCCGATTGTGCCAATCTTAAAGAAAGTTCCTTTAAGCCTTGATGCAGAGGAAACCATGAAAATACCGTATTGGCCCGAATATAAGACGGCCCTGATTATAAGACGACCCCCTCTATAAGTTTGAAAAAATACTTTTTGAACACCAAATTAATTTTTATACAGAAAATAATTACAGTACATCTGTAACAAATGATTATAACAATATATTTGAGAGAAAAAGCATGTTACTTTGCCTCATTCAAATCTTAATATCTGAACATTTAAATATGTAAACTAAAGTGCAATCACATTCGTAAATGAATGGCTTCTGGTTTTTGAAATGTAAATGACATCATAACTTCTCCTCAGCTGCCGGTTAACCTGGCCGATCTTCGAGCCACTTTTCTCCAGATTGTCACTACGTTTCTCCATTTTCTGTTATCTCTTCTATTATTTTCTTCTCTTTTCTTTCTTACCGCTATTTTTTATTTTTCTTCTTTGTGCTACCGCTATTTTTATTTTTATGCTTCGTGACAGGGGTTCGCTTTGACCTGCGGAGTCAAGTTCAGCATTCGCTTCAATGGTATCTGGCACCATCTAGCGTCGTGAATGGGTATAATGTCTAGACCCCGAATATAAGACGACCCTACACTTTTTCAGTCTTATTTCAATGCAAAAAACAACGTCTTATATTTGGGCCAATACGGTACCATCTTGAATCCAGGATGTTTTTACTACAGGTTACAAAAGGTGATGTCCAGCTATCTATCTCTCTGTCTTGCTAGTGATTGAGCTAGCCAGCTCGCTAGTTATCTAGCTAGCCAACTATCTGACTAGCTATCTAGCTAGCCATCTGTCTCTCTCTCTCTCTCTCTCTCTCTCTCTCTCTCTCTCTCTCTCTCTCTCATACTATTCTCAAAATGTTTGATTGAGGTGTATTTTCCCTGCCATGATGTGTCGACTTTTTTATTTTTTTGCGTTCCATTTAGCACTACGGCCAGTGAGCAGTGATCTGTGTGTTGGGATTCCTCCCAACACCACCCAGCTCTGCCATATAAACTGTCCGGTCGAGTGTGAGGTATCATCCTGGAGTGCCTGGGGACCCTGCACCTTTGAAAATTGCCAGGATCAAACAGCAAAGAAAGGTAACGGTAGTTGTACTGCATCTGTGATAGGTGATCATGTCATTCATATTGGCAAAAATCTGCTCTTAAGAGTTTCATTTCCTGGGCCACAATGAGAATGGTCAAGCTAATTGAGTCAGTTTATGCAGATGTAGCAATGCCAACTACACAAATAAATTAAAATCAAAAAAAAAAAACATGTCAGAAATTCCTCTGTGCAACCAAATAAAGATCGTAAAAGGTCAATTAATACATTTCATAGAGTGCAGCCTTGAAAAAGCAAAACTAGAGTATTCAAGAGGTACTGTAATATTTCATTGTAGGGTGGAATATAGATCTACAATTCTAATATTAAAAGGAAAAAAAGAAATCTCAGTTGCATGCAAAACTCTCAATTGAGAGACTGTACAAGCCATCGTTGCATTATCGTCACTTTTATCGTTTTACACAACAAATCAAGCGAATGACGGACAACATCAACAACAAGACAATGGATGGTGGAGTCAAGTTGAGTTGATGGGACTTACTGATAAAAAGCCTTTCATGATCAGCATGTCTTCTGGTCTGGTGTTGACTCATTGTTCTATAAGGGGCTTTCGTTGGGCCCCTTCCTTCCTCAGTGTATTTTTGATAAGCCCATGACACCTCCAGAAGGCTCAATAGTCGCACCTGCCACTCCAGGTATGCCGCATTCCACTTTTATCCCTCAGTGATCACCTCACAGCTCAGTTGGAATCCTTCATCTTAATCCGCAGCAATTTAAAATGTATTAGCCACATGGTGGCAATAGATACAACACAGCTTGTGACAGCGTGGAGATTTGAAACCATATTTTTTTTTCAGATCATGATGCCAGCTGCAAACAGACACACGGTCTTCCTTTTTTTTCTTCAGCATCCTTGTTTCCCCCCTACTTCAAAGCTAGCTTGGGACTATGGCAAAAAACTAGCATTTATGCTAAGTCCGGCGCATTTACACTGTTTCTTCTTGTGTTGATTAACGTGCACTGTCCCAATTAAATAAATAAATAACATAGATAAAATAAATAAATAAAACTGTTTCTAAGATGATGGAATCGACATAGGTCATCACATCCCAATACAATATTATTTCCATGATGTTTGTGTCTTTCATTAAAATGAAGCCTTCTGCTCAGCCAACTCACAACCCCGCAAGTCTGAATACATGAAGTTGACCGTATGGAATCAATGCCTTATACAAGCCTCATCTTTCATGATGCATTCCTTTCTTCTCCCTGGCTTTGAGATAAATCCTCCATCAGTGGGTTTCTGGACACATGGCAATCCTGTATATGTAAAGCTGCAGGAACTGGTTCAATAAAGGTTTTTAAGGGGAGCAGAAAGACAAATTCTACATATCAAAAGTCAGATTCTGCCTCCTCAACCTGAGCTCTGCAGGCAGTCCTGAGCTCTGCTGTGTTATCGGGTTTGAGCAGAAGTGTGGATTAGGGGGTGAGTGACCTTGGCTACTTAACGCCTCCCTCATCCCAGGACCTGGATCATGGAATCTCATGCCCTTGAGCAAGGGAAATGACCAACACATGGGTAGTAAAAACTAAAACTATCAGGAAAAACTAGACCCAAGGCCTAGCTTTAGTATGTCCAATAAATATTTTGGAAAGACGGTGCTTCTGAACGTTAATTTCACTCTCATGTTACTGCTGTTTCTTAACAGGGTTCAAAATGAGGAAACGGAAGATCATCAACGATCCAACGGGTGGGACAGGAAATTGCCCACACTTGGTGGAAGCAATACCATGCGAAGACCCCAGATGCTATGACTGGCTCGTGGTTAAGCTGGAAGAGTGCATCCCTGATAACGAGAGGGAATGTGGACCAGGAACAAGAAATCCTCAAGTTCAGTGTGTCAACAGTGATGGTTTGTTGAAATTTATCAGGATTCTCCTTTATCATGGTTTTGCTATCATTCGTCTTCATCCTCAAAGATCCCGACTGCTATGTTGGGATGTTCTGGTACTCAAGTGGTAGTTAACAGGAGACAGACTGCAACAAAGCACTGCAAAAGTCACACAAATTAGCATCCATTTTCCATCCATTCATTTTCCGATCCACTTTATCCTTACATGGGTCACGGGGGGTGCTGCAGGCTATCCCAGCTGTCTTCAGGCAGTAGGCAGGGGACACACTGAACCGGTTACCAGCCAATCGCAGGGCACACAGAGACGAACAACCATCCGCGCTCACACTCACACGTTGGGACAATTTTTAGTGCCTGCCATGCATGTTTTTGGAATGTGGGAGGAAACCGAAGTACCCGGAGAAAACCCACGCAGGCACGGGGAGAACATGCCAACTCCACACAGGAAGGCCAGAGCCGGGATTGAAACCACAATCTCTGCACTGTGAGTTCGACGTGCTAACCACTGGACCAGCGGGCCGCCCCACACAAATTAGCATCCCACCACAATTTTCTGGAAAAGTATGCCTTGAAAGGGAACAAAAATGTCACTTGCCTAGCGTCAGAAATCAGAAAGCATATGGCAGCTCAGTACACGACATGCATTTAATGACGCTTAGATGTCTTGAAGAAATATTGATGATGTACACAAATTAATTTGACCATGCAGGCAGTATTTTGATTAGCATCTAGCGGAAATCATAACTAATGAGTACATTGAAGAGCACCAGAGAACCATGATTTTTTTTTTTCTGGTTCATAATCAACAATGCTGAATATCAATTTCTTAAACAGTACCTAATGACGAAGCAACTCAATGTGTTCTTTTCAGCGGTATCGCACTGTGCAGTACACTGACCTCTAGGTTTTAGACTACACGCATATGTCGAAGTGGTCTCATAAACATATATCGTATTTCTGCACACTAAGGCGCTTCGGAGTATCAGGCGCACCTTCACTGAATGGCCTATTTTAAAACTGTTTTCATATTTTGGGCGCGCCATGTTACAAGGCGCATAGAATCAAAGCTACAATAGTGGCAGCGTTTGCGTTATGCATCCACTAGATGGAGCTACGCTAAAGGGAATACAATGCAATACAATACAATGCAGCTTTATTGAAAGAGCTTTCACAACCGCTGCAGCTGTAGCAAAGCGCTTTACAGAGAATTTAAAATACTACGTCCAAGAAATCAGAATATTGATCCATATTGAAGGCACATCGGATTATAAGGCGCACTGTCGGCTTTTGATAAAATTGAATGCTTTTAGGTGCATCTTATGGTGCGTAAAATACGGTACTCTGACTGTGGTTTTAGCATCAAAGGAGGTCAAACTTTACAACATTATTGTAAGCATGTTGACAAGTATGATATTGGAATCTAATTCACTGCGGGGATGCATGACCATTTCAGAGCAATGAAAGATCACAGAGATCGTGGGGAAATGTTCTTGCTCATTCCGGTGACAAACTGGCTGTCCGTCAAAGGGTTTGTGCTTGTTAACTGTAGAGGTGAACTGTTGTCGACTAATCTTTGCAGTAACAATCATGGCTAAGTTGGCGTAAACACTTTAATTTGATCAAATGTAAGCCAATTTATCGCATTCAAAGTGCCACTAAATCCAAGCCCTTGGAACTTTTACAAACAACTTTTCACCCTGTAGACAACTTTAAGTGTGGCGCTTGGCGACTCACCAAACCTGGAATCTTTCAGTGTGTGCGGTAAAGTCTGCAACAAGTATTCGAAAGCTCTAAGAGAGAAAAGAACTGATAATTGAGACAAGAGGGACAGAGCATATGTGAAAATTATGAATAGATTCTCGAGTCATAACGCCACAGGCAATGGAAGGCTCTTGGGAGCGAGAGAGAGGGAACACGCACGTAACGAGGATCTCATTCACAAGCACAATTGTGGGATTACCATTTTCGACATCCCCTGTAGACTTGTTCTCTACCATTAATTAGCCACGTTCCTTTTTTTTTTTTTTTTGCCTTGATCATGACATGAAAATACTGCTTTGAATAATCATCGCGTATGACCACGGTGGGCAGTGGCCTGCATTATGTCTGTTTTGATCGGAAAACTGTCAGTGTATTTTGAGGTTCTAATTTACTCGAAACTGTGGCACGAACGTATTCCAGTCAGTTCATACGTGCTGTATTCAGAATGCTTGCAAAAGCACTTTTCAGTTGCTCTTGACATCCAATCAGCAGGTTGGTGCTTCAGCGGCCCTTCAAACTCGCCAAGTTAGACTTAAATTATGCTGTGCGTGAATGGACAGCTGTACTCCAAATAAAATAAATCACCTGGCTCACTTTACGAGCCTTGGCGGTTTATGGCGGCTTTAAAAGGGTCAAAAGGGTGGCTGCAGGCAAAGTGTTCTATTTTTAAAATTGATCGTGTAAATCTCTTTTTGCATTTTTGTATTAAGGGTGGTGTAGTTGAGGTCCATATTGGTGTGAACGTTAGTTCAGATTTATTCAAGTTTTTCTCGATATGTGCTCTGTGATTGGCTGGTGACCAGTCCAGGATTTAGTCCGCCTATTGCTCAAAGTCAGCGGGGATCCACTCCACTTCCCCACGATCTGTGTTATGGAAAACAGCATCCCTTCATTTTCTCGACCACTGATTATTCTCTGTAAAGTTCAGCAGTCATACTTAAAACGTCAAGCATTGGCAAGCCCCGTCACCTGAAGTTGTTGCGCGGTTTCCCTTTTAATATTTCGCAGTGGAGGCCATCGTCAGTATTGTAAATCTTTGTCTTTCAGGCAATTTCATGGTGAAGATAAAGGAAATAGAAATGAAATAGCAGCAGTGTTCAAAGTCATCTGAAATCTAATAAGCGATGCCAGATGGCCATTAACCCTTTTATGTGCAAATAACGATAACCTATATCAGAATTTTTTTTTCTCGTGTTTTTATTAGTCTTTAGGCATGAAAAAATATATAATGGCAGTGAATGGTAACCCACATAAGGGTCCATTGCAATGGTTGATGCACAACTGTGACATAAAGATGAATTTATACATGAGAACACAACATTCGAATAGCTGTCCACTCTAGTAACCGCTGTCCCTGAAAGGGACAGAATTAAGATGACCTCAGAATTGAAAATCATTTGTTGGTCAACTGAAGCAGTTCCTCAATATAGAAAATACATCTTGAATTACATAAACATCAGGCAGCCATTGGAATGACCAGCCATTATCTATCACGGGGAAAGCTTCAATAACAGATTTGCGCTCCTCTCTCGTCGAGCATCATCACCAAGGACACCCCTCAGTTTGCCCTCACAGCCACCTTATTGATCTCTTGTTGTCCCCTCCTGATGAAAATGGATCTGTTATTTCCCCTTGAGGTCTGTGTGTGGGTGTGTGCCATTCACAACACAACATGACATTCTTGCTAGCCTTTACAATGAGATGTTCATGGTGCTTCAGTGATGGGATGAAATGAAAGCTTGCACATCTCACTCAATAATGGTTGCATGTGCTAATCAACAGCACCACTTTTAGGGTTTTTTTTATTCATGCCCAGTCCAAGTCTGGCGTTAGGTGTGGTCTAAAACTGCACAGGGGTGAGCTAGACTAAATTTGGGTATTTCTGGAGTCCAAAAAAATAAATGCTTCATGAAGCAAATTTGAAGCTTCATTTTCCCATTACTCCGAACACTTGTTCTATCACTTCAAATTTCATGTTGTGCTTGCAGGGCTAGTACAAATGTTCCATGGTAGAACCATCATCACCAAAACTCTCTTTTAATAGTGATCCCTGCCACTTTTACACCTGTTGCCAACAGCATGCACAATCTGCTTGAGTGAAAATGCAATTTTAGCACCTGGTATTTGGGATCTTGGTAAAACATCAAAACCTTAGTACTTGTACAAAGTAAATCAGGTGCCTCATTCCCGACAACAGCACCCACAGTTTTAGTGTGAACACACAATGTATGATATGCTTTTCGAGATCTTAGTTAATCAGGCTCATATGTTCTACAATAATGTATTCATGTCACTTATAGCACAAACCCAAAACGTAAAACAAAACAAAACAAACAAAAAAAAAAAAACCACTAGATGTTTTCAAGAATACACTCAGAGTCTCAAGTACCAATACAAAAGCTTATTGATTTCTTTCCAAACACTAACATGATGCTGTCCTTAACACGAGCCTTTTTGTCACCAGGTGAATATGTGGAGAGGCAACTCTGCCGTGACGCCATCCTGCCTATGCCAATAATCTGTGAAGTGCCTTGCCCAAAGGACTGTGCCCTCAGTACTTGGACCCAATGGTCCCTCTGCTCCCACACCTGCTCTGGAAAAAATACAGAAGGCAAGCAGACCAGAGCTCGGTCCATTTTGGCCTACAATGCAGGAGAGGGTAAGAGGATAACGCTTGGAATGTAACTATTGAAGTAATGTAACTTTTTTAAATCAAGTAATTAGCAAAGTAACTAAGTTCCTTTTTAAAGCAAGCCTTTTTTCGTAGTTTATGAAAATACATGTACAATATTCAATTCAATTTCAGTTTCAAAATGAGTTTGACTTACCGCCATTAGCATATCGCTAGCTATGACTTCTGCTAGTCAAAGTCCGATCTTATTCACGCTGTGGCTAGCGACTAGAGTATTACCCTCACCCAAAATTCTATGTTCTGTGTGGAAACTTGGTACGCTTAAGTACTCTTCTGAAAAAAATCGTAATACATATACATGTAACTTTTTAGTAGCTGTTCGCGACCCAACCACTTTCGGTCTCCACCCATCAGTTGGGGATCACTGATTTAAATCATGCTGAAATTATGCACATAGTAGTGTGTTTTACACGCCAACCTGTTAATGCTAATAACAGGATAGAACATGTTCTCACCTTCGTGGTGTGAAGGCGAAGGGGGTGTGGTAGTGGTGGTGGTGGGGGGACCGAACAGATGGTTTGCGCCTGGCTCGGCAGTGCTCCCAAATTGATTTTTTTTTTTTTTTGGCCCTACAATGATGGTCACAGTTATTTTCTTACTTCTGGAACAAGTTGTGCAACATGCTGTTTCTGGCATGTTCACACCAACAAAGCCGATGTTGGACTAAGGAAGACTGATACACATTTGGCTTCATCACTTCCTGAACAATTTTGGCACATTCAGAAAAAGCTAGAGCGTTTATGGTAAATTATAGACATCCTGGGAAAAGTCCATGAAAGATCTGTCTTGGAAATATTCTGGTGAACATTTTTCATCAGTTACTGAGAACTATTTTTAATCCTTTCATGCATCAATAATGATAACCTGTAACCTGATAACATGATAAGCTGTCCACTGTAGTAACCGCTATTCCTGAAAGGGTTAAATAGATTTAATTTTATTTTTTTTTAACTTTTGCTTCATCACTAACCTGGCTCAATAGTTTTAATGGATTGAAACTCACCATCCCCCATATCTGCTTCTCGCTGATCCTATTGGCTTATTTGTCGATATAAATTGGATCAATTCTTCTTATTGCTCTTTTTTTATATTAAACCCGCATTATCTAACTAAACAAATGTTCATTCTGAAAGAGAATACCGTACCTGAAACAAATCTTATTAATAAGAGGACTGACAAGTCAAATGTGCAGCTTATTGACCATCCATCCATCAATCCATTTTGCTGGAATTGTAGAGTAGATTGTATCTTGGCTTGAACTCACGTAGTGCCTATGAGAGGGAATTTTATATTTGTCTTTTTTAATTAGCATGTATTACCACAGCGGTGTGAGTGGGCCACGGATTAATGAGCTCCCCAGCTGATATTTTTCGGCTCTGGTGAATGTAATTATGTCTCGTTTTTCTTTTTATCCTGTGAAGGACATTACATAGAGGTCAGCCATCATTTTGGTCAGGCTTTCTCCTGTCTGTCAGTGATTGACTGGAAGATGTCATTCAGTTACTTGGGGGTGGGGGTGGGGGGGTAATGGCTGACCATCTCCCCTAGGGTTTATCTGGTCCAAAGGTAACAGTGGCCACTAATGACATGCCTTTTGTAGTGGAGAAGGTCACATCAAATGCACTCCCCACCTGGGACCATATTAGGCTTCCAGGTTTGTGTTGACATTCTGCTCCCGGGGAGGTGGAGGGGTCGGGGGTGGGGGGGCATCTTATCTCTATCAATTTTTCCCTAGGGAAAAAATAAAACCCCCATTGTCAGTTTCTTGCCTAAGAGGTCAAAAATCAACGAAGAGTTCATCTATAGCTCTCTTTCGACACACACATCACATCACTTGTGCTTTAAAGCTTTCCAGCCATTATTGTGTTCCTTCCAATTCATGACAGCATGCTTCCATGATTGCTCACAGGTGCTGTGAAGTCCATGATTGGTCGAGTTGTACTGGTTATGTAATACTGTAATAATGTCGTGATACTTTTAGAATAGCTACATTATGACAAAAGTTTAGAGCTCAAATAAACAATTTTCGATTCTAATCAGCTTACAAGTACAAACATAAAACTGATGCTTGAACCAATACGTCCTTCCATAGGTGGAATCCCATGTCCCAATATTAGCGCCCTCCAGGAGGTGAGGGGCTGCAACGACCACCCTTGCACAGTGTACCATTGGCAGACAGGCCCATGGGGACAGTGCATAGAGGACTCCTCCATCCCGGTCACCAACACGTCTATGGGCCACGCACGCGGAGATGATTCCTCATGCTCAGTCGGAATGCAGACTCGTAAAGTCATCTGTGTCCGGGTCAATGTGGGCCAGGTTCCTCCGAAAAAGTAAGATACCCTCAAATAACGCAGTACATTTGTTTGTGTGTGTCTTTCCATTTTGTGTATGGGCGTTATTTTGTGTTCTGCTCAATGGTTATTCACGTGATGTCATAGCGTGTTGAAGGGACTTGATTTGTGATGCTCATCATTCTCTTTATACAAATGTTCAAATGTAGGTGCCGTATTTTCCGCACTATAAGGCGCTTCGGGGATATAAGGCGCACCTTCAATGAATGACCGATTTTAAAACTGTTTTCATATACAGGGCACACCGCGTTATAGAACATTTAAAATACTACGTGCAAGAAATCCGAATATTGATCCATATTGAAGGTGCATCGGATTACAAGGCACAGTGTCGGCTTTTGAGAAAATTGAATGCTTTTAGGTGCGCCTTATAGTGCGGAAAATACGGTACAATGCACATGGATTATTGAGTTGTTTGTGTCAGTGAAACACACCCGCTCTTAATGCTCGTCCTTATTTTTATGTCACGCAATCATTCTCCCTTTCTGGTTTGTCACTGTCACATTGTTGTGGCAGAGATAATTAGCTCCTTGCCAACTGTGTTTAAACATCCGCTGCTAGTTCTTCCCTGAAACTCCCTCCTGGGACTGTGGATGATGTATTTATTTATTCATCAGAAGGTATTATTTTGGCAGGAGAGCAGTTCCGCTCGAGCAATCCCACCAGCCCCCGTGTGGTGTATGGAAATGACTCGATCTTGTTACTCTGGCACAATTTTCCAGATTACAGCGACATGCTGCACGGTGAATTTGTATCGCAGGATGTCAGTGGAGACAAGGGTGCCGGGGGTTAACCAGCTGTGACCGCGATTGGAAGACTGTCACCAAAGAACATGGAATTATATATATTATAATAATAAGCATGTCATTGGTTCAAATCTGATATGTGGGCCACGTCGCTTTTAAAGAGAGGGATTCTAAAACCCCTTGACTGAGACAGAGGCCCAGTGATGGGTTTTTTTTTTTCATCGAAATATGCCCCTGGAGACTTTTTAGCAGACTACGGAATTTAGTTTTAACCAACAATGGTTGTGATCCATCAAATAGACTTCCGAGGACACTACAGTCGATTTGGTGAGTGACACGTCAATTTTGTTGTTGCTGTTCTTTCAGGTGTCCAGAGAGCTTGCGTCCAGATACGGTCAGGCCCTGCTTATTACCTTGTAAAAGAGACTGTTTGGTCACCCCATACAGTGACTGGAGCCCGTACCCATCAACATGTCAGAAAGGTTAGCTTCTCTTTTGACATTATACAATGTGCCTGGCATACGTGAAACACACGTTTGATTTGGGTTTTTTTGTGGGGTGGCATGCTATCGTGCGAAGTGAAAACTCTCTATCCTCCTGACTACCAGTAGTTCAAATTTGTCCTCTGTAGAGGACATTTGTAAACCTAAATATCTCCCACCCAGTGCATCCAATCACATTAACTCCTTTTTTTACTCTAAAGAGAACATTCAGTGCTTTCCAATGATACCAAAATTGTAGGGGTTAGAAAAAGTAAGAAAATGGCTTCCCTCAGTGCAAGCACTTTTTATGGGAATAGGAAAAGTAATACACATTTTGTCTTGAAATGCTGTTGGCATTTTATTTATAAGACTCTTATGAACACGTTAAAGTGTTGTTTGAGTGTTTTTAAGTGTATTTGAGCCTAGTATTCAAGTGTTTAAAAAATGTAGTGGAATTTCAAAAAATTCTTTTGGAGTAGTCCAATTACTTCACATAGATTGGGGAATTTCAAAATAAATGTGATTGGACAACATGTTTTTTCCTGGTAGTCAGGAGGCTATGAGAAATAATTAGAAACATTCTTTTGGTCAAGGCAAACTGGTAGTGATGCTTTAAAAGTGCCCAGAGGTCGTTCAAAAAGCAGAGTCGTCAAAGACAATGATTCTTCACGAGGGAGTTCCGGCTCGTGGCACACAAAATAATTTCAATTTTGCAATCGTGCAGCGTACTGAACCAAGTACGCAAATGTAAATTAGACGTTGCTCATGCCGAAGAGATACTCGGATACACTTCAGCTTCCTGCCACTACGTGACAATAAGATGTCAGACTGTGACTTACTAGCTAACAGAAAAAAATCACAAGTATTCATCAAAGAAAATCAAAATCTTGTCATTTCGTTGCCCACAGGTGGTAAAACCAAGAAGAAGCAATACCGAAAACGCATCATCATCCAGTTACCAGCCAACGGAGGGCAAGAGTGTCCAGAAGTGCTGACCCAAGAGAGAGAAAGTGATGCTCCTTCTGTGTGTCCAAGATACAGGTAAATGTCCTTTTTCGCAGATACATCAGCAATCAGACTGTTTTGTGGAAATGTTTGCACACCCAAAATGAGACATGTAGTATAAAAATGATGTTAAGGTGTATTCTGTCTCTGATGCTGTACTATCCAGCCAGTACTTGTATCCAACTCTTTCTTTAGATGGAAAACACATAAATGGCGAAGATGCCAAATGGTTCCATGGTCAGTTCGTCAGGACAGCCCTGGAGCTCAGGAAACCTGTGGAGCAGGCCTACAGGTTCGAGGTGAGGACGCCTGATTGGACACGCTCGCGTGCGTACGCACCAGGGTTATCATAGCTTGGGATTTTTCATTAGGGTTACGTTCTGTTTTGTTTTGACTTGTGTTTTGTTGATTCGGTTCATTTTGATTAGCTTTTAGATCAGGGTTGTTGAAAAAGCTTATTTTTAGTTTAGTTTTTTTGTAGTGTTAGTATTTTTTTTATATATACAATTTAGAGTATTTGTCAAGTGTAAGGTTGAAAGAAAAAGAGTCACTTAGCATTGCGTAATTAAGTAAACTACAATTTTCAAATGTTTTTCTGTATGGACGTACAGCAAAACCAAAATACATTTCGAATGACCCCAAAAGTTTGATAAAAGATAAAAACAAAGGACGTTTTCACTATAATTATAGTTAGTTGTATAAAATGTAATTTGTTAATTTTCTTTTTGTTTTTTCAATTAACAAAGATCCTTGTTTTTAATTTTAGTTTCTAATTTTCATTAACTAGAACAGGGTTTCAAACACATTTTTGTCACGGCCCACATTTTAGTTACCATTTCCCTTGGAAGGCCATTATGACTGAAATCATATAAAGAAGTCAAGAATAACGGTTTATTCAACTGTTGTTTAAGTTACTGTAATAGGGTGTTTGGCAACAAGAACATGTTTATAATCTCTCTCTTATTTATTACATATGAGAATTTGACATTTTGGCCCATATTTTAGCAAGCATCATGGAATTTGTCGTGTTTGATTTGCTTTCGCTGGCCACATAAAACGGTGTGGCGGGCCAGGTCTGGCCCCCGGGCCTCAACTTTGACACCTGTGAACTAGAACAACCTTGGTACGCACACATTCCTGCCCACCACACATTATAAGGGCAATGACAATACTATAGTTCCTATGTGTTATGGGTTTACATCAACCAACTGCTCCTTTGCGATGACTTGCTGAGGATAACATGAATGGCCGTGACAATCCTGGAGGACAGTTCACATTCAAAAGGGTAGGTTCTCATATTCGTCTCATCGACTCAGACATATCAAATCCATTATTTAATTCAATGATAAGCTTCCTGCTCCACCACTTTGACGCCTGTTAACGTGATTCACCATCACCTGTCACAGTACACCCAGAGTGGAGACAGGCAATTCAATACAAGCCTCTTCCTATTCACCGTTTTACTCAATACTGATGAATCGGGTTTTTTTTTTTAGCCATTTCGTCTGATATTTCCTTGGCATATCTGATTTCGTAGACCAAACTACAACTCCATTCAGCACAGTGTATAAAACCACTAAAGCATGACAAGGTCTGGTCTTAATCTTCTTTGATGAAACACAGAATGCAATGAACAACAGTCTACCAGGGTCTGCCAATTTAAAAAAAAAATCGTGCACCAGAGGTTATTGTATGGTGCCATTTCGACAATATTACGAATCATTTTTTTTTCCATTCACAGTTTGTGCAACTTACTGATCTCTATGACTTGTTTGTTCCAATAGTTTAACATTTATAACGAGGGGTGAAGCCTTGTTGAAATGTGGCATCATCTCTGTCATTCCCAAAGCTGTCTCGTGTCGGAGGCAGGATGGTGGACAGGCTGATGTTGAAGCTTGTCTGAAGTTCTCCAGTTCCATGCCGCCTCTCACGCAGCTCTGCCAGCTGCCCTGCCAAGAGGACTGCCAACTGAGCAGCTGGTCCAAATTTTTGCCTTGTACAGCTGATTGCGTGGGTGTGAGGGTTCGCAAACGGACGCTCGTGGGTAAGTGGCAAGGAGGTGATGAAAATGAGAATTGAGTGCATTTACAGTAGGCACTATAGGTCAATGTATCTGTACAGTCCATACTGATGTCTTGAAAAACAGCTACTACAAGTTGGACTTGGGACCCCTTGCTCAAAACAAGGTCCTTCAAGACCTGAACACAAACATAGAAATGTGTTTGTTTTCTAGTGGTGACAAGAGCAAAAACAGAGTGAGTTCTGGGCATATTCGAGACATGTTATGCGGGGAAAACGATGAATGGTAATGTTTCCCCTTCACAAATACCGCCTTTTCTGTACTATAAGGCGCTTCGGAGTATAAGGCGCACCAGCAATCAACGGTCTATTTAAAAACGGATCTCATATATAGGACACACCGCATTATAAGGCGCATCGAATAGAAGTGACAATAGTGGCTGCGGCCACGTTAGGCATCCACTAGATGGAGGTACGCTAAAGGGAATACAATACAATACAATACAATACAGCTGTATTTATGGAGAGCTTTCACAACTTAATGCTTTACGGAACATTTAAAATCCGACGTCCAAGAAATCTGAATATTGATCCATATATGAGGTGCATCGGATTATAAAGCGCACTGTCGGCTTTTGAGAAAATTGAATGCTTTTTGGTGGGCCTTATATTGCGGAAAATACGGTACCTTATTTGAGAAAATGTGATGCCCACCAATATTTTCTTATGAATTCATGTCGAGGAAGAATATTCTTTTTTCCAAATACTGTATGAACATTCTATAGCAGGCGATGATCTACAGGTCTTTGTTTTTCTGCAGGTAAAAGCAAGAAGCGAGACCAGTGTAAGAACCACCAGTTGTATCCACTGAGTGAGACTCAGTACTGCCCGTGCAACAAATACAATGCCCAGCCTGTGGGCAACTGGTCCGACTGTATACTTTCCGAGACCAGCCGCATGGAAGGTCAACTGGGCATGAAGGTCCAGGGCGACATCAAGGAATGTGGTCAGGGGTATCGATACCAATCTATGGTTTGCTATGACCAGGACAACCGCATCGTAGAGACTTCACGCTGCAACAGTCATGGTGAGTTGAAGATGTAAAAGTAAATTGTTTGGTTCACACCGAACCAAATAATGTTTTAGGATTCCAAATATGCAGGCTCAGACAAAGTGCGATCACAAAAATGCTAATTAAAGAAAATCGCACCGACAAAGTATAAACTGAAATCGCTGGTCGCAAGGAGCCAGGAATAAACAATGCATGAAACCAAACGCGCTTGCAAAGGCAAGGTAAAGTAGTCCACAGAGTAGACGTAAAACGAAAATCAGATGAAAAATCCAATAACTCGAAAACAATCAATCGTAAAAAAACAAAATACTTACAAACAAGAATCGATTAACTAACAAGAGCAAGAATGAACTGTATCGAGGGGTCTACAAAATAACACTTGAAGCACAACAAATAGAACGGTCAATAATCCGACAAGGCGTAGCAGAAGTCGGGGGCCTTAAATACACAGTAACGAGGCACAGGTGCACCTGCTGGAGGGAAACGCCCTTGAACTCCAGCTGGAGCTGGAACACAATCAAGACAGAAAATGACAAAAATAATATTGGCAATTACAATAACAAGTTCACAATTAGCTGAGGCTTCACTGCAAGCCATGATCCGGAGTGCAGAAACTTGAAATGTAAACAAAGGCTGCATTAAGTGCCCTTGCGTTTTTGAATGAGAAGGTTGAACTTAAATAAGATATTGTCAAGGTGGAGAAAATAACCGATTCTTAGATCCATTGTGATTTACAGTAGACTGTAATAATAAGAATAATTATTATTATCCATTCATCCATCCATTTTCTGATCATCTTATCCTCACAAGGGTCACGGGGGATGCTGAAAGAAAATCGCACCGACAAAGTATAAACTGAAATCGCTGGTCACAAGGAGCCAGGAATAAACAATGCATGAAACCAAACGCGCTTGCAAAGGCAAGGTAAAGTAGTCCACAGAGTAGACGTAAAACGAAAATCAGATGAAAAATCCAATAACTCGAAAACAATCAATCGTAAAAAAACAAAATACTTACAAACAAGAATCGATTAACAAGAGCAAGTATGAACTGTATCGAGGGGTCTACAAAATAACACTTGAAGCACAACAAATAGAACGGTCAATAATCCGACAAGGCGTAGCAGAAGTCGGGGGCCTTAAATACACAGTAACGAGGCACAGGTGCACCTGCTGGAGGGAAACGCCCTTGAACTCCAGCTGGAGCTGGAACACAATCAAGACAGAAAATGACAAAAATAATATTGGCAATTACAATAACAAGTTCACAATTAGCTAAGGCTTCTCTGCAAGCCGCGGTCCAGAGTGCAGAAACTTGAAATGTAAACAAAGGCCGCATTAAGTGCCCTTGCATTTTTGAATGAGAAGGTTGAACTTCAAAAAAATATTGTCGTGGTGGAGAAAATAACGGATTCTTAGATCCATTGTGATTTACAGTAGACTACAATAATAATTATTATTATCCATCCATTTTCTGATCATCTTATCCTCACAAGGGTCACGGGGGATGCTGGGGCCTATCCAAGCTGTCTTTGGGCAGTAGGCGGGGCACACCCTGAACTGGTTGCCAGCCAATCGCAGGGCACACATATACGAAAAACCATCCGTGCTTCCACTCACCCCTCGGTACAATTTAATACCCTGAGAAAACCCACGGGGGAGAACACGCAAACTTCACACAGGCAGGCTGGAGCCAGAATCGAACCCTGCACCTCTGCACTGTGAGGCCAACGTGCTAACCAGTCAACTACCAGGCCACCCTTATTAGTTTTTGTTATTATTATCGTGATTATTATTTTTGTTTCTTTTTCAAGACTATTTTTAAATAACAATTATGGTGGTCTGAAAAAAAAAGTTGAACACTGACTCGCAGTGTACAATTACTCAGGTTTTGCTGTATGTTTTCAAGCGTCCTGTTGTGGAGCTAAATTTTTGCATTAAATTTTTTTTAAAAGACTCATGAGGTGAAATAGTCCGTTCAGAGTGTTGGAACTGATGACAGATATGACAAATGACCTCTTTCTCACTTTGGAGTGCATATTTAACGGAGCTGATTTCAAAGACTGAAGTGGGACACAGCTGGAGATCCCTAATTATGTCTTGACAAGTCACTTTGAGTCTTGCGGGGACATGCATGCCGCATTCAATCGTTAAACTGACCTTAATAAGTAAACTACTCTACAATACAACGAAACTATTAAGACGTGTCAAAATCATGTTAGTTGACCTAGCTCAGAGGCAATCTTTTGAGTTAGTCTGAATGTTAAAATCAGTCGCGGGGTGGCGTTTCAGGGTTGAATTAGCCAAAATCCCAAATCTCTCCGGCCACCTGGATCTGTATGAACACATCTTGGCATTTGCCAGCAAGAGGACGAAAGGGCATTACGAATTACAGAGAAGTCATCCCCTTGCGGGAAAATATCGAAGACATCAAAAGCACTCTGGGGAATGGGCGCATCTGTGCTTGTTCAATGAAAAAGCTATCTAGTTGTCAGTCTGAGAGCTTTCCTCCCAGTCTCGGCTTTTTTTTTTTTTTTTTTTAATAGTGACTGACTGCAACTCAAATGATGACTGCTGTCAGCTTTCAGTCTGATTTCAGCATTCTTCGATTGTTGCTTTTACGCCACAAATATTGTGTGGATGAATCATCATCCCGTCTGGTCTTCCCAGCCATATTATTCCCTCAGGCTGCAGCTGTAAACCAATGCAGTGCATAGAATAAGAGGGCAAGATCACAATCTTCGAGGAACAACTTGCAAAAAAAAAATCTTTATTCGTTCAACCCTTATCCCGGTTGAACGAATAAAGATTTTTTTTTTGTAGTATACAAGAAAGTATTATAAAGGCGGCGTTAGAGATAAGGGCTGTATCGATGCCTTGCTCAATAAATATGAATCATATCTTCATTAGCTAAGTAGGTTCAAAAAATATTCTGAAAATGCAGATTTTCACTTATGAACAGATTGCGTTAGAGATAAGGGCTGTATCGATGCCTTGCTCAGTAAATATGAATCAAAATCCTATCTTCATTAGCTAAGTAGGTGCAAAAAAAATTCTGAAAGTGCAGATTTTAACTTATGAACAGATGAACTTTTCCCGTCATTTAGTTCATGTCAGTCAAATCTTGAATACCATGTCAAAGTGAAGTTGAGTCTTTCAAAAATTTTTGTCTCAAACCCTAAAATTGCTGACTCAAGTTATGTCATGTGATTCAAGTCCTGTAGCTTTTATATACTGTATGTACTGCGTGAAAACATTTCTTGTCATATTGTTGATAGGGTACATTGAGGAGGCTTGTATCATTCCTTGTCCGTCTGACTGTAAACTCAGCCCATGTCAAAGTGAAGTTGAGTCTTTCAAAAATTTTCGTCCCAAACCCTAAAATTGCTGACAAGTTATGTCATGTGATTCAAGTCCTGCAGCTTTTATATACTGTATGTACTGCGTTAAAACATTTCTTATCATATTGTTGATAGGGTACATTGAGGAGGCTTGCATCATTCCTTGTCCGTCTGACTGTAAACTCAGTGAATGGTCCAACTGGTCCCGATGTAGCAAGTCGTGCGGCAGTGGTGTCAAAGTTCGCTCAAAATGGCTCCGAGAAAAACCGTACAACGGTGGAAGGCCTTGCCCCAAACTTGACCACGTCAACCAGGTGATTTATCGTTAGATTGTACTTTCATAAGGTACAGTTATGTAAAGTTCGCTTTTACAACTACTGCATACAGTATACTGTACACGTTTTAAATATGCTCGACTAATTTCAATGACTCCTGTTTTTCTTCTCTTTTCTTTATTGAATGCAATTCAATCTCAGGCACAAGTAAGTACTTTAATGTTTGTCTTTATTTGAGTTTGCTGCCCCCCTCCCCCACCCCCCTGCACACTTGTATACTGTACTGTATAAATGTTCCGAACAAGTCCGATCAGGTAATTTTGACATTTACTTGAAACAGGTATATGAAGTGGTGCCTTGTCTCAGTGACTGTGGGCAATATATTTGGGTGGTAGAACCATGGAGTGTCTGGAAAGTTAGCAGCGTGGACCCGAAGAACAACTGTGGCGAAGGTGTTCAAACCAGAAAAGTCAGGTAAAGATTTTGCGAAACAACATCAGATTATCCACCCATCCATCCATTTTCCGATCCGCTTATCCTTACAAGAGTAGCGGGGCGTGGTGGAGCCTATCACAGCTGTCTTCGGGCAGCAAGCAGTGCACCCCCTGAACTGGTTGCCAGCCAATCACAGGGCACACAGAGACGAACAACCATCCACGCTCACACTCACACCTAGGGACAATGTTAGTGTGTTCAATCAGCCTGCCATGCATGTTTTTGGAATGTGGGAGGAAACCGGAGTACCCGGAGAAAACCCACGGAGGCCCGGGGAGAATATGCAAATTCCACACAGGAAGGCCGGAGCTGGAATTGAACCCACGACCTCTGCACTGTGAGGTCAACGCGCTAACCACTGGACAACCAGGCCGCCCAACATCAGATTAGTTGTCCCCGATCTTTTTTTCTGATCGATTCATGGCCGTACAGATTTTGAAACAACCCTTCCTCAACACTGGGTGGGGGTGGGGGGATTAGGGTGGGTGACATAGATGCTGTGCTACAAAAAAGAAAAGTAATTGTCCGGCCCAATGCGAAATGGAATATTCAAAACAATTTCAAGATGGCTTGCATTTTTTCATATCAAACCCAATTCATGTATATCACATTGTTGTATCATTTATTTTCGTATAAAAATAATTTTTTTTTAAATCCCCATGACTGAAAATGTCTGGCAGCAGCTGCTTTCAGTACTTTCCATGACATCTGTATTTTAGCCTGATAATCAAGCACATTAGATTCTTTATAGCGATGAAGGTAAATCGTTTTTTTTTTTTTTTTGTCGCTTAAAATAACGATAGTATTTTGCATATCAGGTGTATGCTGAACACGATAGACGGCCCCTCGGAGCAGGTGGAGGACTACCTGTGTGACCCGGAGGATATGCCTCTGGGGGCTCGCAACAGCCGGCTGCCCTGTCCAGAAGACTGTGTGTTATCAGACTGGGGAGCCTGGAGTCCATGTCCACTGGTGAGAAAGATATGCACCGTATACTGAATGATACTCATTACGGGATGGGCCAATATGCCAGACTGTGATTGCCGTGGATGCCTGGTGAGATGTTTACACCACAGCAGTCACGGTGAGGATGAAAAACCTAGTCGGGCTGTAGTAAAACAAGGCGAGTACTCTTGACAATATGTAATAGAGAGTAACATAACTTGGAGGTGTTCTGTATTGCGACGGGAAGCATATATATATATATATATATATGCATCTCACACTCCAACTATTTCAAGGCAAGCCACGTGTTGAATTTGTTTTTGTTTATAATGCTTATTGTTGAATGTGTCTGTGTGTGTGTGTGTGTGTGTGTGTGTGTGTGTGTGTGTGTGTGTGTGTGCGTGTGTGTGTGTGTGTGTGTGTGTGTGTGTGTGTGAGAGAGAGAGAGAAAGTGCAAGAGAGAAGTTCAGCCTCTTCATGGAACCCTTCATTTGTCTGAGCTACAATTTAATATTTGCTTTTTTGATTTGATTGATTGGGAGAAAAAAAATGTCAAGATGATACTTTGGAATCCATTAATGGACGTTGAGGTTGGAGGTGGAGGGGGTGATTTCAGTGCTTTGCTCAAGGTGGCAGACCAGCATATCTCCTGGAAGTACTGTAATTTCTCAAGAAACCGATGGATTAAAAAAAAAAAAAAATCATCCAAAATCGAAAGGCGATATGTTGAAATGAAAATTCATCACATCCTATGATGATATTTAATGTCTAAGCTTCATTTTGAGAAGTAATGCAATTCCGAGAAATCCTTCCATTCATCCTTTTTCTGAACCGCTTTATCCACACTGAGTGTTCAATCAGCCTGCCACGCATGTTTTTGGAATGTTGGAGGAAACCGGAGTACCCGGAGAAAACCCACACAGGCACAAGGAGAACATGCAAACTCCACACGGGAAGGTCGGAGTTGTATTCGAACCCAATTCCTCTGCACTGTGAGGTCGATGCGCTAAACACTCGACCACCGGGCCACCTTCCAAGAAATTATTTGTTCGTTTTGACTAGGGCTCACCCACTTAAAGGATCTCGTTCTTGGCCACGATTGGGATCACGTCATGGCGAGAATAATGGAAGGGCGATGATGAGAAGAAAAATTTGAAGTGTTAAGAATCGGCTGTCACAGGTTGGATGGGGCCTATCACTGCTGCGGCCGCTGTGACTCTCGTGGCGAGTTTTTAAAAGTGCGCTTACATAAGAGGCATTTTTCAAAAGCAGGTCAACGATGTTAATTTTTACCTCTGTATCGGAGAATGCTGATCTGCTCTACAAAGAAAATACTTAAAAAAAAACCAAAATGGCGCACTGTGATGAAAATACTGAGGTTCAACTGTATCAACCTATCAATCAATATATCTATCGATACAGTATCTGCTATTTCTTTGTTCCTTAGCCATGTAATGGAAACAGTACACGAGAGAGGAAGGCTTCACCCATCAGGCAGCCCGGAGAGGGGAAGGAGTGTCCTCCAACCACTGAAGCGGAGCTTTGCAAACTCAACAACAATTGCTTCCACCATTCCTACAACATCACCGGTGAGATGGGAACAGCTTGGTCAATCATGTCGTCTTTCTATGGAAACTCCGGATTAAGATTGACATCTTTACCAAATGAAGAATCTCGGCGGGTGTGCCTGAACATCAGGAAACCTTGTTTCTTTATTGATGTCTGGTCGATACAGATTGGAGTACTTGTCAACTGAGTGATCGAGCGGTCTGCGGAAATGGTATCAAAACCCGCATGCTGGACTGTGTGCGGAGCGACGGCAAATCTGTTGACCTGAGATTCTGTAAAGAGGTGGGTATGAGTTGTTGTTTTTTTTTTTTTGTTTGAACTCTTCAATAAAGTCAAAGTTCATTCAAATAATTGTCTTTCAGCTTGGCCTTGAGAGGAAGTGGCTGATGAATGCTTCCTGCGTTGTGGAATGCCCTGTCAACTGCCAGCTGTCGGAGTGGTCGGCATGGTCCGACTGTTCACATAAATGCGGACTCCAAGGTAGGTGCAATTGAGCTCTTGGCATCGTTTTTAATGTTGTGGACTTGTATTTGGACAAAAAAGGTTGCAGGTCAAACTTGAAAATCTCCACATTGGGACTGCATGTCCTTAGCATTGCTCAGAAGTGCTTGAGGAAGGCACTTCACCGCCAACTGGACACATGGCACTCAGCTCTCCTCAATACAGATAATGCTTCCTTCTGCACATTTGAGTATTAAAATGCTTTCTTGGACATTATCAGAAAGCAAAACCGAATTTTCTCCTTACATTTATAAATTGAATTTGCTGTTTTGTATACGTCGCCCAAAAAAATAAGGTTATCATTCAATCTAGTATTATAGTCTCAACTGTAATGTGCCATTGAATAAATGCCCGCGAACATGTCATTTGAATCTGCAGGGGTGTTTACTGAATGTCAAATTAACTCATTAATATTGATCCAGCATGTGTTTCACAATTTACTTTTTTATGAAGGTATTTGAAACAAAATACATACAAACCCAATTCCAAAGGGAAATTGTGTTAAGCATAAATAAAAACAGAATATATATACATATAGATATACATGTACCTGTCACAATTCGGGGACGAACTGAATGGCGATCAGATCCCACAAACGTAGACACAAACAAAATCCGTACAAGAAAATATTTATTGAATAAGAGCACTGACAAATAGAAATCGCTGGTTAACAAGAACCAGGAAAAGCAATGCATTGACACCAAGCGCTTGCAATAGGCAAGGAAATAGTTCATCGGAGAAAACAAACGAAATGACTCGAGTCCAAATGGACGAAAAAAAAGCGAAAGAGCAAAATCAAAAACAAAATCATAAAAATAATTACGAGCGGGGAACTAGAGGCAAAAGTGACAATGAGGAGAACAAGAGTTCTAGAAAACAACCCTGAGCAGGAGCAGCAATAAGGTCAATAATCCGACGATATATATATATATATGTGTGTGTGAGAGAGAGAGAGAGAGTTATTCAAGCAGCAGACAGAAACCTTGGTCAATTTGAAGACATTCATTTGGGTGTGTAATTACATTGTAATTGACGACATCCGCCCTAAATGGAATTTTAACAGGGCTTTTTCATACAGCGGTATACTTTGTTGACTGTAATGAGCTGCCCCTGCCATTGGCTCGGTTTTCTCATGATAATGGTTATGATCAGAAGTGTTTCATGGTGTGAGAAACAATTCTCACGTCTCCCAACCAACTGAAAGGGGGGATCAAGCATCCTCGCAGATACTTAAGATATAGGATCGGATCACTGAACCACGGTCAATTGCGAGTGCTGTGGGGCTCAGGGAGCACTTTGCACTCCAGCAGATTGCGAGAAGAGCCAGCACCCTGAAGCAAATACAGAAGATAGACGATGTGAAACTACAGCAGCCTTTAGCTGCTGTGCTAACCTAATCTGACCCCAGGCAAATTGCTTTATTTTCTTTGTGTGGAAGGAAGAACACCAGGTCTGGATAACATGGTTATGTATATGAGAGATTGGGCACTCTAAATTGTTCCCAAGTGTGATTGTGAGAGTGAATGGTTGTACCCCGCCTACTGCCCAAAGATGGCTGGGATAGGGTCCAGTGCACCCGGGACCCTTGTGTATTGGTTCAGATAATGGATGGATGAACTTCACATTCCCATCATGCAGTGATCTGTAAAATAATAATGATAAAAATTAATCCTAGAAATCCGGGAAAATTATCAGCCACCTGGTACCTCTTCCACCTGACTTCGGATTGTTCACCAGCTAATCACAAGCGAAAAGTATTCTTGCTTCATGTCACTAAATTTTGCCGAAAACTTTTACGTCATCCATCTTGAACTCTTCATGCTTCTTGTCCTGACCCCTCCTGATTTAAAAAAAAAAAAAAAAGACTACAATGGTACCTCTACTTATGAATGTCTCTACATACGAAATTTTCAAGTTACGAAACGCCTCAGCAGGAAAATATTGCCTCTTGTTACGAAAGAAATTACAAGGTTTGAAAGGTAAAAATACAGTATGGGCTACAAGATTCGAAAGGTAAAAATACAGTATCGGCTGCTACTCACAGTTCCGAGTTTCCTGAATGCAACATCCTTATAGCAGCTCTGCCATTGGGTACACCCGAGCATCAACCTGGCATCCCATTGGCTTAGAGGGACCTCCACCGAATGTGTCTATGTATGTAGATAGATTCATAGGTGTCGACGCAGCGTCCTCGTCATTCGCCCAGGAGGTGTTCCAATAGTTTGATGTAAATGTGAATGACCCAGAAAAAAGCGTTCACCAGTCCAGCGATTGCTCACTGGAGTGAAACTCCAGTGCAAACTGATGTTTGCCTTGGACATTTTCGAATGACTGTTAAAATCCGAGAAAAGCAAACATCCTTGGATCTGTTCTTTTCAAAACGCCAGGCAAAAAGCACTTCTAAGAGAGAACTAAAGAGGACAAAAAACGGTGAGGATGCAGTTAAAAGTTAATTGACCATTTTTATTCTTTACTCTTTTCTTTGTTTTTTAAATTATGCACATCTCTCATTTATTGTGCAATAATCTAATTGTAACATGTATTTGTTACATATTTTGATGCAATTTATGCCTTATAATACATTTATGTATGAATTTCGGGTGGGCTTGGAACAGATTAGGGCATTTACATGGAAAATGCGTCTCTTCTTCACAACATTTTGTAGTTCCGAAAATTCTTCCAGAACCAATTTATTTCGTAAGTAGAGGTACCACTGTATGTTAAATTTCAGCATCAACATCCTAAGGTGACGACAATTGTCTTTTATGCTTCTTTTCTCCTGTGTTCAGGAAAGCTGTGGAGAACACGGGCAGTCACCCAGGCTCCCCAGGGTGATGGGAGGCCATGCCCAACACAGATGCAGCAGTGGAAGCCATGCCTTGTGAAGCCCTGCTACAGCTGGAGATACAGTTCGTGGTCTGAATGCAAGTCTGAGGTCAGCTTAATACTTACACTTGCACCTGGAATGAAAATAGGACCCTTTGTATTGACTTCCTTTCAGCAAAACACACACGTTTTAACACATTTTCTTGGATTCCAGGGCGCAAGATGTGGTGAAGGCTTACGGTTCCGGAACATTTCATGCTTCGTGTCAGATGGATCTGATCTACAGGGAAGTCTGGTGGACGAGGAACTGTGTGGTGAACAAGAACCTGTGGTGGACGGAGATACGGAGATCTTACTACAGGAGTCCTGCACGGTACCATGTCCAGGTAAAAATGAATTATGAGCAACAACTGAGTGAACAGCAATAGGTGCAATTTTATTTATAAATTTAACAATGCTAAAATAAATAAAAGGAATACATTTTGGTGGGAAAATGAGCATGTTTATTTATTTATTTATTTTTATTTTTTTTAGGGGAATGCTACCTGACGGACTGGACAATTTGGAGTCTGTGCCAGCTAAGCTGTGTTAGTGGAGATGATCTGGGTTTTGGCTCAGTGCAAGTCCGCTCTCGAGCCGTTGTGGCCCAAGACCCTGAGAATCTGCTTCAGTGTCCAGAACAGGAGTTGGAGGCCCGGCCATGTACAGGTCCAAATTGGCATACACTATGACTGCTAAAATTTGATATCAGTGATTAGTGTTGAATAAATAATTCTGCTCGTGACCATCCTTTATGTGTTTTCGGTCATATCATTAGAAACAACTGACTCATTTTTTTCAAAGTAAATAAACAGAACATTCTACCGTCAGAGGGGCAGTGTTTTGAATACACCTGGCGAACTGGACCATGGCGAAGCTCATCGCGGCATGTCTGGTGCCAGCGTTCAGATGGACTAAATGTCACAGGTGACTTCTCCATATTACACACAGGACAATAAACAGTGAACCGCTATTGGGCGCGGCAGAAACATTCTGGACCCACCTGCCATAGGTTAAAATCTGCGATATAGAGAGACAATGTAATTGAAACAAAAGGTTTACCCATCTTATGTTGTTTAAACACATTTAAAATGATTAAACGACTTTTAAATGCATGGTGTTTGAGGTCGTGTTGCACTTCCCCGGCCATTCCGGCGCATGCAGTTGCCCTCGCTCCCGACTCATCTGACAATTTGGGAACAGAAAGTAGACTCTGCTCGGTGTAAAAATGGGCTTATTGTCATTTTTGCGCTGGACAATAGTCTAGTTCAGTATGGATTTGGTAGATGTGCTACACCTCACTGGGTGTTACTTGCGCGCCCCCCAGGGCATCTGCAAATTTGGTGACAAAAAAATAGACTCAATTTAGACGAGTTAAAAGAAGGCCAATTGTGCAGCGCAGGTGGTGTAATGTCATTTTGGTGTATTTGATTGAAGCACAGGCAGACAAAACATTTCATTCATAAATGTCACCAGCATGTGGCAATCTCTTTGAATCATTGTAGAAATTAATTCACTGATCAAATTCTAATGATCATCTTAAAAATATTTGGATAGCATTACACAGTGAGGCACAGTCATGTAGGTGCAAGGTGGTCTCCAATTGCCCACGTTACATGGTCAGCTGACTACATCATCCTCATCTAGCTGTTTATCTGCCAATATCCTGCACAGACTCTTATCGATTTCATTTCTGTTTCTGCAATGTGAAACGCGTTGTACTCAGCCGTACTGCACTTCTGAGCATCCTGATTTTAATGCAAATGAGGGATGCCGCCATAATTGGCTGAAAAAAAAAATTCTGTGGCTATGGCTGACAGCAGCTTCTGCCTGGATGTGCTCGTTGTGTTTATGTCACATTTTGGGTGAGACGTTTGGCATGGTGGCATGCAGGCAAACGAGGCAGGAGGACCCAAGTGCAAGGTGCAGGTGGAGAGAAAATGCAAAAAACAATGTTTAGCGGCAACAGGCTCAAAAGTACTACAATAACAGTCCAAAAAGCAAATTAAAAGCTACTGCAGCCTTTGACAAAAACATGTTAATTACAGGCGGCTGCCCAACAACAGCGAAACCAATGGCTGACCGATCCTGTGACCCACCATGCACCAAGCCACGTTCCTTTTGTACAGAGGTGAGTTTAACTACAAATGAGAAAGAAGTGACATGATACCGAAGTGATGTAGAATTAATTGAAATGTAGGAAATGGAAAATTGTATTTTTGTATTTATTTTTGTTCACCCATCCTGTTTATCCCGAGTTTGATAGAAAACTGCTGAGGATATTTATATTGTCATATGTACCGTATTTTCCCGACGATCAGTCAGTTTTTTTTAAGTTTGGCCTGGGGTGCGACATACTCTGAAGCGACTTATCTGTGAAAAGATGAACACTTGAGATCATTTCACATATTATTTTGACATTGAACCGCAAGAGGGCGCTCGAGGGCTGTGCTGTCATGTAACGTTATCAAATTGGATTATCGTAAACTTATTCAGCCTGTTGTTTTTATTTTAAATTGCCTTTCAAGATGACATGTCTGTTCTTGGTGTTAGATTTTATCCAATAAATGTTCCCCCAAAAATGCGACTTATACTCCAGTGTGACTTATGTTTTTTTTAGTCTTCATTGTGCATTTTATGGTTGGTGCAATTTATACTCAGGAGCGATTTATAATCCGGAAAATGCGACAACTGCACCTTCTCTTTTCGTCAGTCGGGTGTTTGTGGATGTGAGGAGGGCTACACAGAAGTGATGACATCTGACGGCCTACTAGACCAGTGCACTGTTATCCCGGTGCTGGAGATCCCCACTGCCGGTGACAACAAGGCAGATGTCAAGACCATCCGAGCCTTCAACCCCACCCAGCCAGCGGTCAGCCCCCCTGGCAGGGTGGGACGCACTTGGTTTCTGCAGCCATTTGGTCCAGGTAGACACCCTTGCGCAGATCTTTCTTAAAATGTACTACCGTATTGGCCCGTATGTAAGACGGTGTTTTTTTGCATTGAAATAAGACTGAAAAAGTGGGGGTCGTCTTATATTTGGGGTCTAGACATTATACCCATTCACGACGCTAGATGGCGCCAGATATCTTTGAAGTGAATGCTGAACTTGACTCCCCAGGCCAAAGTGAACGCCTGCCATGAAGAATAAAAATAAAAATAGCGGTAGCACGAAGAAGAAAAATAAAAAAATAGCGGTAAGAAGGAAAAGAGAAGAAAATCAAGAAAATCATAGAAGCGATAACAGAAAATGGAGAAACGTAGTGACAATCTGGATAAAAGTGGGTCGACGATCGAGGGGGAGAAGTTATGATGTAATTTACATTTCAAAAACCAGAAGCCATTCATTAATGAATGTGATTGCACTTTTGTTTACCTATTTAAATGTTCAGATATTAAGATTTGAATGAGGCAAAAATAACATGCTTTTTCTCTCAAATATATTTTTATAATCATTTGTTTCAGATGTACTTTAATTATTTTCTGTATAAAAATTAATTTGGTGTTCAAAAAGTATTTTTTCAAACTTGAGTCTTGAAAAAGAGGGGGTCGTCTTATAATCAGGGCCGTCTTATATTCGGGCCAATACGGTATTAATGATACATTAAATTATTCTAAAGAAGTTGAGACCTGTTCAAAATGACGTCCCACGTATTTTCGGGTGGCAAAGGGTACAGCTTTCTCCGATGGCATGGCAACTAAACAAATCCATACATGTCATTTTATCAGGGCAGAGCGATTTCGAAAACATGGTCAATGAGTGGTGTTTTTAGCTGTCTTCTCTACCGTCATTTAAATGTATGAAGTATCAGTTGGACAGAAGATATGTGAGGCAAATTGCTTTGAAGATGCACAGAAAGCCGCTCATAATTTAAAGATCAACAGTTGAACGGATTCGGAAATAGACGTGGTGGAAATTTTGATTTCGTAATTTGGTCATGGCGGCCGACTGGTTAGCCCATCGACCTCACAGTGCAGAACACCAGGGTTCGATACCGTATTTTCCACACTATAAGCGCACCTACAAGCATTCAATTATCTCAAAAGCCGGCGACGACCTGACAATACAATACGACGATATATATATATATATATATTTATAATATTTATGAGTCAATATTCGGATTTATTGGACGTAGTATTTTAAATGTTCTGTAAAGCACTTTGTTACAGAAAGCTCGATATAAATAAAGCTGTATTGTATTGTATTCCCTTTAGTGTAGCTCCTTCTAGTGGATGCAAAACACAACTGCAGCCACTATAGTAGCTTCTATTCTGTGCGCCCAATATATGAAAACAGTTTGAAAATAGGCCATTCATTGAAGGTGCACATTATACTCCGAAGCGCCTTGTCGTGCAGAAAATACAGTAATTGTCCCCAATAGGTGGCTTTTGCCTGTTAATCTTTTTAAGGATATAAAAACAACCTTTTGCTTGTTAATCCGGTGGCGTAATGCAATATGTTTTTGTCATTGTTTCAGTTCTGGCGATTGGCCGTCCCCTTGTTGTCTATTATGTAGTAACAGAAGAGCAATGTTCCTTTTTTCTAAGATAGAATTTGAAAAAGAAAAATCAATACAGTACTTCACAAAGTGCTGCCTTAAAAAATATAAAAAGAAAAAAAAAAACACGAATCTGACAGAGGCTGCTCCAGAAGTCTGCTCCTGGCAACTAATTGCAAAGCAGCCCAAAAGCACTCACAGGGGATCAAAACAAGCAAATACAGATCCACTTCAGGCTGAATATAATTGTTTATATTACATATCAGTCGGAAACAACTCTATGTTACTGTCACGACAGCGTTAGCGCAGCAGACAGGCCGATGACCCATTGTGGAGAGCTCTACTGCCCCCTTGTGATCAAAGAAGGAAGTCTTGTCAACCCCAAATAAATTGACCTACCGTCGAAGACAACATATTCTCACTCACTATGTTTCGTTCCAGATGGAAAGCTGAAGACGTGGGTGTACGGAGTAGGAGCCGGAGCGTTTGTTCTTCTCGTCTTTATAATTTCAATGACTTACTTAGCATGGTAAGGTACCAAACACTTGTCTGATAAATGTTCCTTTAGTCATATTTTCATTCACATCATCACCGGTGATTTAATGGAGATCAGAATTAAAATGCCCCTGCAGAGAAAACAGTTTCATTGCGACTGAGCATATGTTGGGTCTTTGTAAAATTGAAATGTATTTACCAGGAGGCTACCGACTGCTTCATGGATTTTAGGAATACCTGTAGTCCGACTCAACATGATACTTTTTGGGTGGCAAGAATAATATTCTCACCAAAAGGAGGAAGTTTCTTCTTTCCACATTTTTGTCCAAATTTGATTCAAAGTTAATGGTGTTCTTTCTTCTCATTTCCCACCAATCCACAAATGTGTTCTGGAAATTGGCTGTGTCGTTTTTGCAAGATACTGTTAAGGAAATCAACCCAAAAAATGGGGATCAAAATTATTCCTCTCACTTTCAGTTGGCGGATGTAACCAACGATGAAAATAAGCAGCACACAAAAAAGGTGCTACTCATTTCGGTTTCATTATCAAAATAGAGAATACAGAGTTCTACTTTTTTTTTTTTAATTTTCCCAACCAGAATATTTATTTCATTCTCACTCCCAAAAATGTATGGGAGGACTAAAACTTGCTAACCAGACTAAGACCTTTGCATAATTATTGATGGTTATACAACTTTGTGTACTAGTAACATTTATGAAAACAATTTACAAGCCGCAATTACATTGAAGTTGGGACGTTATGGAAAACGTAAATCCTTTTCAACACTATGTTAAATTCAAGGCATGAAATGTTCAAACTGATTCATAGCACGGTTTTGCTTTGTTTTTTTTTGCTCTCGTTTTGAATTTGATCCCTGCAATATGTTCCAAAAGAAGCTGGGACAGGAGCAATAAAAGACAAACAAAGTCGCAGGAATGCTCCAGAAATGTTGAAAAGGTACAAAGCAGTAAGGTGTACCTTACAGTCCCCCCCCCCCACGGACGTCCCTGCTTATTTCAGCAAGCCAATGCCAAGCCACATTCTGCATGTTTTACAACAGCGTGGCTTCGTAGTAAAAATGTGTGAGCAATACACCGGCCTGCCAGCAGTCCAGACACGTCAGACATTTGAAAATGTGCGGCACGCAGTGGACTTCATTGGAATCGATCTCCATTAACCTCACTGTCCATATTGACCTCAGTTCTTTTGATTTTATGTTCTTCATGTTTCCATGATCATTTCATCTTTCATTTTGTTTTTTGTTTTCCCCTCCACCTTCGCATTCTCCATTTAGTCGTTATGGTTTTTGCCTTTGCCATGAGCCGAACTCCAAGTCCCCTGCAGATGGGGCGTACTGGATGGACCCAAACGGCTACACAATGCCTTACATCTGCCCTACCTGCCAGAACCTAGAACAGCAAGAGCTCTGCCAACTCCAGATACAGCAGCAATATGCAGTCCACCACCCTCCTCAACCATCACAACCGCCACAGCGGTGTTCACTGCAACGCTCCGCACCTCACTTTGAAACTCTAATCACTTAAATCAGGGGGCCATCTCTTGTTTACTCACCTGGCCGACTTTCATTCGTGCCCTCATTCCCCCGTGGCGCATCTTTCATCATTTGATACTCATCACGTCCTGGAGGTGAGCGACTAGCATCAACTTTATTTTGACTCACGTTAGTTGCAGATTTAACACAAGAAATCGCTCATTCAGTCTTTTCCTGACTGGAATGGAAAGAGCAGTGGATGTCGGATTTATTTCGAGTAAAAAGTTAGCTTCTGCGTTAACTTGCTCAGTGCCTGACATTTTCTGACCCAACCATGTGAAAGAATTGTAAAGAAGAAAAAAAATACACAAAGGCGTAATTGGGATTGAATGCTTGGATTCTTAGAAAGTTTTTTGGAACCCAAGCATTCAAAATTAGATTTTTTGTTGTTTTAATAAAAACAAACAACAAAAAATCTAATTTTGTTACCGTTTCGTAAAAGTACACAAAATGTCATGCAGCACAAAATGTAGGCGTCTGAATGGCTCGATGATGCGACGAGCTGCTCTATTAGCAGTTTGTTGGCTCGCAAAGCGGCATTGAGGCTAGCCCAGTGGTGGCCAACCCGCAGCTCACGGGCCGCATGCGGCTCTTTGGCCGGCTCAATGCGGCTCCCGGGCTTTCAAATGACAAGCATCGAAAACGCCTCGGCAGTGGTGCTGCCATTCAAACAACGGCGTTAAATACACAGAACTTAATACGTCAGCCTATCATCAATCCCGTTACTTGATTGGCGTACAGGGCAACCAATCAGATGACAACTGAATCACCACTCATGCGCACACCACGGTGCTTAGCGCTGATGATTGACATACAGGGCAAGCAATCAGATGACAACTGAATCACCGCTAATGCGCAAACAACGGTGCTCAGCGCTAAACGCTAAGCTTGTCAGCGAATTACAGTACCTCTGAGTTTCAGGCAGTGGTGTCCAATACGTCAATTGCGATCGACCCGGAGCCAGCGGACTGGTCCCAAGTCGAGCGAGAACGTTGGGAGGAGGAAACCATGTGAAAAAATTGTAAAAAAGAAAAAAATACATGAAGGCGGAACTGGGATTGAATGCTTGGATCCTTAAAAACAAACAACAACAAAAAACCTAATTGTGTTACCGTTTCGTAAAAGTACACAAAATGCCATAATGATTGGGCTTATATAAACCATAAAATAAAATACCTAAAGTGATTTGAAATATTTCTAGAAATTATAATAGTGGAGGATTTTTTTTTCCTGAGAGCTGTTGAAAATCAGGAAAGATGTGGTCACAACCCCCCCCCCCAAAAAAAATAAAAAATAGTCAGCGAATCACTCCATTGAATATTTTCATCACTAAATGCAAATATTCACTCTTAAAGCTGGTGTCCCCATCAAAATGATGTTCGAGCTGGTTAGCGCTCGTCGAGTCACATTATTATTTTTTTGTTGTGTTGCAGCAAGAAGCCAAAGAAACCACAGCGACGACAGATGAACAACAGACTGAAGCCGCTGACGTTGGCCTATGACGGAGACGCCGACATGTAGGGAAGGAGTCTTTACGTTGACCGTGCTGAGCTACAGGACATCCCCCCCCCCGACCCCCTCCCCTTCCCGCATGGAAAGCTTTGAAAGAAACCCCTCCCAAAATATCGCAAATCTTAAAATCCAAGCTCACGAGCAGCTTTTTCTCTTCCTCCATGGTGTTTTTGTTTTTATGTTTCACAAAAGCCTTTTATGACTTGATTTCACTTCCTACGTCGGGAAGTTTGCCTTTCTCTGCTGTATTTTCATTTCAAGTTGCCCGCAGACAACTTTTTTTTTTTCTGGTGAGCACAAATTTTTGGTTGTACTTTGGTTCATTTTGTAACAGCTGAGGGGACTCTGGATGTTTTGTTTTTTTTTAATTTATTTTCCGGGCATCATTTTTGCACTATATTAGTGCAGCAAGTTCTACTCATCTCTCTCAATACAAGCTGGTGTGTGTGTTTTTTTTTTTTTTACTGCATATGATGGGATTCTGTAAATAATTGTTTTTTTCTCTCTGAACATACCTTTCTAACATGTACAGGTATTCTTCCCATGCTCTGTATGCGAAGTGAATTTCAAATGGTTTGGACTTGCGGCTTATAGCAGTGGTCCCCAACCCCCGGGTCGCGGACCGGTTCTGGTCCGTGGGTCATTTGGTACCAGGCTGCACAGAAAGAATAAATAACTTCCATTACTTCCGTTTTATTCAATTCGTAATCCGTTTTCATCATTTCGTAATCTGAACTGTTTTATTTTGAAAATTTACCGGATTCTCTGTGACATCCGTCTACAGTATGTCACTCTTGACGCTTCTCGGTCACATGATAGGTTACCCCTAAAATGAAACCCAGGAGCTGCATAATATGCTGCGATGGTGAGTCGTATTTTTCATGCACTTTGTATTTGCGGTATATCTTATTTTGAAAGCACATTAAAATGTTACCATAGCTCCCAGAGAGTGTTGCGGCCAGACAGGACGTTCCTCATGTCATGATTCGTGTTTTTTTATTATGTTTCGAAAATACTACAGTTTTCATGCGGGTCATATCATATTATTTTGTTGTTTTTATCCGTCTCACCTTAAAGGCCGCTCCCTGAAAATATTATCTGACATTAAACCGGTCCGTGGGGCAAAAAAGGTTGGGGACTGCTGGCTTATAGGGCTGAGTTTAACTTCGTGGTATTGATCCAATAAAAGTCTCTGATTCAAGCTGCTGGATAGAGACACATCATCAACAATACTGCTTATGAAATGGGAGATTGAAAGAGGGACCGAAACCTTAAAAAGATGAGGGCCTTCAATAAATGGGAGGGGGACAGATAAATTCGCTCTGGAGGTTCCACTTCTCGCAAAGTCATGATACAATACACATCTGGGAAGATTCATTCATCAGTCAATGTGTCCACGTAGCCGCATTTCAAACCGCTTTCTTGAAGGTAAGCTTCAAGATGGAGTTGCAGACGTGCTGCAGTTCATGGGAAATCCCACAAGTCAACACTCAAAGCAATTGACATTCATTTATGAAAGGATATGAAATGAATGCACTTGAAAGTACAGAGAGCATCGCCATTATGCCGAGACATTTTATCATTGCCTGGCCGTCCAATATTACGTGAAGTTATTTGCCAGTAAGTTAATGGAATGTTTTAATTTATATTTCGTTTAATATGAGTTGTAAATAAACTGAAAAATACTTTTTAAATTATCCATGTACCATATTTTTCTTTCACTTTTGTACTGAAAAGTTGGGAAAAAAAAGCTGAGTGAATGTGCGTATACGACTGATAAGTTGGAAAAACTACGCTGCAGATGAACTTTGTCCTTTCCTACTGTTTGTATTTATTTGACTAATTGCTGATAATAAACAAAGAGAAATATGATGAATTCGGGTTTGATGTTATGGGCGTCTGGATGGCTCGATAATGCTACGAGCTGCTCTATTAGCAGTTATTTGGCTCCGCAAAGCGGCATTGAGTCTAGCCAATACTCAAATCACATCATATTTTATTTATATCGCACTTTTTATACATTAAAAATGCAACACGGAGTGCTGTACGGAGACCAAAAACAATCAACAGAAATCCACCCCTCCCATTCCTATGGGAACACACACACGCCCACCCACATGTACGCCGACAACACCCCAGAATCCAAATGTGCAACATGAAATGACGGGATTTTCTTGTATTTCTAAGTATATCGTAATTGTAAACGGTTACATTTACAATCGTTACAGTAACCCCGTTTCAATGTATTAATTTTATTAGGTGTTTTCACCCCCCCCCACCCACACACACACACACACACGTCATTTGTGTCAAAGTGCAGGTGCGTGCCCCTTCAGTGTAAAATGGGTCCGCAACTTATGTTGTATTTACACCAACGTTGTCTGTTTCGCTTTTAACGGACCAGGGTTCATTTCCCCACGCCGGCATGGACATTTTATTCAGGTATGAATATACACAAAAGAATCATGGTACGGACTAAACAACCGGACAAAAACTCACTTTTTGCGGTGGTCTTAGTGCGCTCTCAAACGGACTCGTGTGGTTCACAAAAACAGGAAACAATTAAAAAAAAAAATTTTTTTTTTTTTTTTTGGTCTTGAGCCACCGTAGCCCGGCATCGTGGGGAAATACGAGCCCGTAGTAAATTTTCATCATACGTGATCCTACCTACAGTGGTACTGCTACTTACGAAATTGGTTCTGGAAGAAATTTAACAAGAACATTTTGTAAGTAAAGACACATTTCTCAGAATCCCAGAATGGTAGACACCAGACAAAACTCCCTTACAAAAAATATTTATTCACACAAAACGCACTGACAAAGTAGAAACAGAAATCGCTGGTCAAAAATAATAACCAGGGAAAGAAAAACAGTACTATAACTAGTGATGTGCCCGACTGTGTCGAGGCTCCGATGCGTGTGCCGAGTAAACCGGAAGAAAATCTGCGAAGCGCGCTTCGAGGCATGTGTCGATTACGCTTGTGGCCACGCCCGATGCCTCGGAACGCGCGTTGCTCCGCCCGACGCCCCGCGAGACGGGATTCCTACGTCACCGCCAACAAATAGTTTCGCGGGTGAATCGAAATAAATCCGGCGCACCGGGACGACATTGAGCTCACAGGTGACGCTGACACGCTCAACTCGCATCTCCAAACCTCAACTCATTCCGATTCGTTTTGCAATGGACGGCTTTGGACGCACCCCACCATCCACAACGAATAAGAAGAGAACATCCCCTGTCTGGGATAATTTTGAGCAGATCTCCCCTAAAAAGGTACGAATTATAACCAGTGTGAATATATATTGTAAATTATTGTGACAGCACAGTGCATCCCTCATTATAATGTCTTTCTTCGACTTGCTGATATTTCAAAAAGTGAAGGGTAAACTTTGTTCCAAAGAACTTGGGTACCAAGAGAACAAGTCATCGATGTTGAGGCATTATAGGGCCCTGCATGAAAATAAGGAGACAACTCAAACAGAACCACCCCCAGGTAAGGCATTTTAACATGCAATGAAAGAACAGCATAGCCTACCATGTGTATTTCAAATGTGACAGATGAAATGAATGACATCTATCACTAACTCTGTCTCTGTTAAACTGCAGTGAATAAGAATGCAGTGGAAGAGGCATTAATCAATATGGTGATTGAAGATTCCATACAGCTGAGAACATGGCTTCCGTTCAATCGGCACTCATGGCACAATGGGGCATTTCCACCAAGGTAACTTGCCTTGTGACAGATGGTGCAGCCAACATGGCTGCATGTGCCAGAGACCTTCATCTGCGCCACACATATCTGATCGTGAAGAAGGCTCTGGCAGAAAACACTGAGCTGTCTGAGATCCGTCTTCAGTGTAGGAGGATAGTTGGCTACTTCAAAAGCAGTACCACTGCAAAGGTGAATTCCTTTATTACACAGCAGTATTCAAATTAATGCAAAATGACTTGAATAATGTTTTGTTTCATATTTAATTTTTATAGACAAGGCTGACACAGGTGCAGGAGCAAATGATGCCTACAGCGCCTGTGCTGAAGCTCATTCAAGAGGTAAGTTGACATCCATAACTGCTTCCACTCCCCTTTCAAACAATAATGACCTTTTATTTTCAGGTGGAGACACGCTGGAACAGCACCTTCCACATGTTGCAACGAGTGTACAACCTCTACAAATTAGCTATAACCTTTCTCTGTACCCCAGCCTCATCCGTCCATTGTGAAAGACTATTTTCAAAAGCAGGAGAAATCTTATCGAAGAAAGGAAACCGTTTAAAGCCAAACACATTGGAAATGCTTGTTTTCCTCAATCAAAATGAATGAAAGGTGTATCTTGTTCCTTGTTTATGTCAATGTCTAAAATAAAGCAATCATTCTTTCAAGTAACACACGCACATTCATTCACATCACAACTCCCTGCCCTTTTGACTCCATCAAATCCATGGTATTTTAATCACTGTGTCATGACATTTATTTTCCACATGATGGCGCAATAGAACAAATGGAGCCTCATGATGCATCGGCCCAGGACCGACCCAGTTGGATGGAAAGCCTCATTGCTTCATGAGGCTTCAGATTCCCATCACTAACTATAACCAAAAGCGCTTGCAAAAGGCAAGGAAGAAACTAACCCGAGACCACCAAACGAAATGCCTAGAACCCAATTCATGTAAAGCAAGAACAAAAACAAAACTAAACTTACAAAAACATAAAACCCAGAGAACCAGAACAAACATGACGAGAGTGAGAGGTCTAGAACAATCACCACTTAAGCAACAGCGGTAGCAAGGTCAACAATACTCCAGACAAACTGCTGAACGTTTGTTGGTCTTTAAATACATAGCTCCCTAATGACAAAATTGGCAGCAGGTGTGCACCGAGCAGGATGGGCTCCAGTCTGCCACCCGCTGGTGAAAATAAGAACAGGAACATGAAAAAAATGCCCTAGTGTCTTCCAAGCCCACCCAAAATTCAGACATAAATGTATTTATCAATCATTAAATTGCATCAAAATATGTAACAAATACATGTTACAATTAGATTATTGCACAATAAATGAGAGTTGTACACAATGTAAAAAACAAAGAATAAAGAATTAAAATGAGATCGTTTTAACTTTTAACTTTGTCCTCATCTTTTTTTGCCCTCGTTAGTTCATGTTCTATCTCAGAAGTGGTTTTTGCCTGGCGTTTTGGAAAGAGCTGATCCAAGGACTTTTGCTTTTGTCGGCTTTTAACAATCCTTCGAAAATGTCCAAGGCGAACATCAGCATAGTGAGCGATCGCCCGACTGGTCAGCGGCACATTTATAAAACTATGGGAACACCTCCTGGGCGAATTACGAGGATGCTGTACAGACGCATTACCATCCATCTTCACACACAGACACATTCGGTAGTGTGTAGACACACTCTTAGCCAATGGGATTCCATAATTTTGCTCGATAGTAGCCAATGGCAGAGGCGCTATAAGTATGTTGCGTTCATGAAACTCAAGAGATGCGAGAGCAGCCTGTACTGTATTTTACCTTTCCTGTCTTGAAATTTCTTTCGGAACAATTGATAATTTTTTCCTGTTGAGGCGTTTCGTAACTTGAAAATTTCGTATGAAGAGACGTTCGTAAGTAGAGGTACCACTGGATTTGTTTCACCGCTAAACGGCGAACCGCCAGGCTTCCCGTTCTGTCTCCCCCCGTTGGTCATTGTTTTGCTTTATGTTCCTCTGGGCGGGTTGGAACCGTGAAAAGTAAATTCCTCGGGTTTTTTTTTTTGTTTTTTTTTTTTTTACGTATTTGGCCAATAAATTAGATTCATAACAGCCGAAACATGCAGAACAAGTACGCAGCACATCAGAATTCCATGTTTCCTTAATTTCCGGGTTTTTAGTCTCGGAGCCGCCCTCGTCATTTGTGTCCAATGGGAGCACCGATCGACATCGGCGTCGAAGGGTCAAGAAATATTTCTTTACCTGCGTTTGGAATCACAGCTTTCACAGAAACAAGCCACCTCTTTTGTCTCTAAAGCAGTTGCTAATACCACCACCTGGCCAAGTTTGTCAAAATGTTTTATCAACTGTTATACTAATTATTAGTCCATCTGTATTGTCAATACATCTTATTCCAGAAACAAATTCAACACAATATTGTTGCAGCTCCGGAAAAAGGAGAGTTGTCGTGTTGGTTTTTTTTAAACGTACACTTTATTAATGCTTTTAAGAGTCAACAAATACAGACACGTCTCTGTCCGACTACGTGCCGCCTCCTGTCGTTCGGCTCGAGAGGCGTTCAAAGACTGCCTCCAAAACACGTAAATTAACGATTACTTCAATGCGACTTAAAAAATCGAAAATAATGCACCATAACAGAAAATCAAGCTAGGAGATCGCAGAATACATTCTATGAGGGGTGGGGCACAACAATGGAATAAACAATTCTGAGACAGTCCAGTCTCCTACAATGTAACATGACACAAAAGCGGGAATGAAATATTCAAACATCAAAATGTCTGTACACATCTCCAAAACCGTCCCCTGAAGCAAACCGGTCTTAAGAGGCCGTAGACAATTCCTTTAACTTCATGCTTGGTTTGTGCTCAATCTCTTGACTTTTTTGACGTTATAGAAGCATGCCCTTCCAAATCATTTCCTAGCAAATGATCACAGGTTGGAGTCCCATCACACTGTGAAAATGAATCCAATTGACTGCAGAGTACATTGGTCTCATTCGAGATTTATGCTTGTAGCTATCAATTCTGTGTTATCTGTCTGCTGAACCATATACCTACGTCTTCTCCATGTCCATATTATGAAGGTCACCAGGGTGAGGCAAAGCATGAAAAGGAGAACCAAAGGCACAAGAAAAGTTGGCCCAAGGAAACAATCTAACACAGAATTAAGTGACCCGCAGCAGTCAACCTGTACTCGATAAGCAGCTACACGCCGACAATACAAGGTTCCGTTGATGAGTTCTGAGGAGTTACACGTGTACAGGCCGGCATCCAATTCAGAGGTGTTCAGGATAATGAGACCTTGGCTGTGAATGCTGTATTTACTTGTGGAGTTAAGTGTTTCATTGGCAAACTGCCACATGACCTCCGCAAGGTTGGAGGTAGCCTGGCAAGTCAGCTGCATGTTGATCCCTGGAACCAACCTGTAGTCCACCACTGGTACTGGATCTAAAAATACACAGCAGCAGCTTTGATTTTTGAGAAATTCGAACATAGACAGATAATATTACAGTAGACGTTTATCCTCTGTGAAGAATGACTGATATTAGTGCCAATTCGAACATAGACAGATAATATTACAGTAGACGTTGTTTATCCTCTGTGAAGAATGACTAATATTAGTGCCGCACTGATGAGCTAAGGGGCTCATCTCCCGTTTCAATGAACAGTAGATATGTGTGTCTTGTAGTGACCACAGGTGGCCACTGGGGGGGGGCACAAACAGCAACAATGGCCATTCAATTGATGGTTATATGACTTTGTAATTCTTTTCAATCCAATTGAATTTTGCCATGATTGTTTTATAAAGTGCAATATTATGGCTGGCTATTTTTCCGCATAAAAATACACATCAGAAAAATTTGTATTGTTATTGGAGAAGCATGTAAATAACTAAAGGGAAAAGGGAAAGGAAAATGGGAAAAGATTCTGAGATGTGAACATTTTGAGTTACGAGCACGGTCACAGAATGATTTAAACTTCTGTCTCAAGGGACCATTGTAGTGAATGTTTTCCCCTTGCGCTTTTGCGCTTTTTTGTTGTTTTTTTATTGAACATTGGCTCGCACATGTACGTCAAGTTTCATTCTTCTCCCATCTAATGTTAATGTGTTATCAGATGCTAATACTGCTTTTGCTAGCCGGCGCATCTATCAATGCCGCAGCTCTGATTAGTGGCTTGGCTTTGACATGACCGTGACTCTTTGCCGTCGACTTCCCTTTGTATGGAGAGAAAACGTGGGCGGAAGAAAATGCTGTGTCAGGGCACTGTTATTGAAATTAGCGCAACTGTGACGATAATTGAGCCACAATCTTAGCTACATTGGGGTATTGGGCATTCAAAAGACCCACGGTTTGTATACAAGTGTTGGGGGGAGTCGGCCTTTCTCATCCTCCGCGTGTTCGTTAATTTCGGATGAGGAGGATGCTGGTTATTCAAATACAGGCTGGAGACAATGAACAGTACACCTTCGAAGGTTTTACGTTTCTTTTCTGCAGTTTACGAATCAATTCGGGCTCCTGAGAGTTTCCGATTTCGTCAGGAAGCCTAGGAAAAATCCAGTCACGAGAATATATAGAGACAATATGATAATGAGAGGTGGGCAGTTACGCCTCCATGCAAATCCCGGAAACAAAAGAAATCAACATGTCAGCTGACCCGGTGTGGCTGAAAAAAGTTGGGGAGTGGTGCGGTGAGACCAGACCACCACTACCCACCATTGTCTTCGGTCTGAGCTTTGATGTGATGGCAGCGACAGATACTTGAGACAACAGTCTCTCTTTTGGGGCTAAACTCTGGAGGGGGTCCTCAAAGTGGTGGGGGTCAAGGGGGCACTAAAGGTGATTGTAATCACAGAAAGCAGGAAATGCCTTCGAAAGCACACTATGTTCTTTCTTTCAAGTGTTTGAACAGATCCAACAATAGAGAGGGGCTGAAAAAAAAATCGCAGCAAGGAATAAATTCCTTAACACAAGCCACCATAGAAGTCAATCGCCTGGCGCATGCATGGCTCTGGATCTGGAGTGTGGTGGTCTCACATAAAGGTGTTACATACCAGGTTTTGGACATCTGAAGAATTCTTTCAAACTCTGTATTGCAGTAGACGCAGTGGGGGACGAGGACAAGCCACGGATGGGGAAACAGACTTTTGCAGACAGATTCCAGGCACAATAGGGGTCTCTGGCTAGGATACAGTCCGGGCACGTGACGTGTCGACTGCAATTACTGACTGGCATCTGGACCACACCTACTCTTGACCCCACAAACAGCTGCCCCTGTGTTCGAACGTGATGAAGCACAATGAAGCTTCAGTAGCCAACAAGACAAGGTTATGACTTCAGCTACCATTTGGGAGTTGTCATGTACTACACCTTGACGGACAACAAGTGGAGCGTCCTGATGCGTTCAGTTGGGTACACTTGAATCTCCTCAATGATGAAAGTCTCTCCGTTGTGGTTGACGGCCTTCTGAATAAAGCCGTTCTCTAGCAGGGGACAAAAGGTGTCACTTGAGATAAACGCTTAATGTGAAGTTTTAAAATTTGCATGTTGCCATTTTATTTAGAGCCTTCGAATCCAGATGTAATAAAATCTTCGGACTTGTTTGAAAATAAATGGCCCTGCATTGTTTTCAATGTATACCGGCACGTTCTGTCAAGTCATTTACTTGAAGTACAGGTCAGGTTGAGTCTTGATACATTTTACCCACCAAAAAGTCATAAAATTGGTGAATGAAATCCGATTTGAGTTGATCATGTGACATTTCCCAAGTTATACTTGAAAGGTAGAGTTTGCGTCCCCGTCAAAGCCATGCTCGTTTAAACCGTATTTTTGGGATTATAAACCCGCATTGTTTGGCCGGGGTTGCGATTTAAACTCTGGAGCGATTTATGTGGAAATGATTAACACATTATAGTGGTACCTCAACTGACGAACGTCTCCACATCCGAATTTTTCGAGTTACGGAACGCCTCAACAGAAAAATATTGCCTTTCGTTACGAAAGAAATTTCAAGTTACGAAAGTGGTGATTGCCTCCACCTTCACCTGCGCCGTCCTGAACATGTCTTTGTAATAAGCCTGCCTTTTTTTTCAACTGAGGACTTTTGTTGCTACTTTGGTTCCTAGATTTCACCAGTTTTGCTGAAGTTTGGATTTGTCACTTTTCCACTGTTTCGGACCTTTTTGCAACCTTGTCAGTCAGTTGTTGTAAGAGTCGCTGATGGTGTCGTGGCACACACGCTGAACTTGTGTGCGGCTAGCATGGGATCGGTTCCCACTCAGTGACGGTGTGAATGTTTGTCTTTTATCTGTGCCCTGCGACCGACTGGCGACCAAAAGGCAGGGCACACCCTGAACTGCTCACCATCACAATCCGGAGGGAGATTGATTTTTCGAAAGAATGTTCAACCTTAACGAAAGGATCATGCAGTTTTTAAATAGAAGACTTTTTTTTTCAAACTGAAAACTACCTTTTGAGCGGTGGTAAAAGTCTGGCGAATCAACGACTTACCAGTGCCAATGAACATGACATCATGTCTCTGTCCATCCAGTGCAGTCACACTTTCGACGACTATCTGGCTGAGCAAGGCTCCCTCTTTGATCAGCAGAGGCCCATTCGTCAGCATAGGTCTAACAGGTCCTGAGACCTGGTCATAATGCCAATAGTCAGTTCCTCCTTGGTTATCCTTGCCCCGAAACAGAAAAATTCTCAATGCATCTTTCTTAGGTAAAATTGCAAGGGGCAGGCGTAATCCATTATGAAAGCCTTTCTGGCTTTTGGGGCCGGCTAAAACGTGATGTTCATTAAACTCATTCAGTACCAGCCAAGTCTGGATCAAGTCTGAAAAGACGTTTAAAAACGTCTTTGGGAGTGAACGAGTTCAGACCGAAGTTTTCTGTTGACGGTGCCTTCAACTTCACAGCCTGTTAATGTCCACCTTAGCCCTCCCCGAAACCACCACGTCAATGGAGAAGGGCTTGATATACTGAATTGTGGAAACCAAACATAGAACGTTTGTACTCACTGATCCTGGACTGTAGACTTGGCTACTGTCCAAGGTTTTGCTGATGGACGACATGCTGTACACACACAGGGTCGATACGCGATCCCTGGAAACACCAAACGAAAACACTCAGTTTAAACGTCATCGCGTTGGCTTTTGAAGATGTTTCACTCCGGGTCGACGGATAAACTGCGAATAATTACCACGGTGATGTGAAGACAGCATAGAACAGACTTTCCTTCCAGTTCTCATGCATCAACAGGAAGGCACTCTGCACAACGGGGGTCCAGTTCTCATCGGGCAACGAGCAATCCAGTGTTGCTTTTTGGAACGAAGTCCAGAACGGGCTAGCCGAGCTGCCCCAGTCCGCCTAATCCAAAACTAGTTGATTACGCTGTTTGTGGACCATTTTTGGTCAAGCGCTTTTGTCAAGTATTCAAAGATACCTGGCGTACACGCGACACGCGCGATACTCGAACCATGCCGTGATGCTCCGTTTCAGAGAAAACTAAGTAGATTTTGGCGTCGTTGGCACTAATGGAATATTCATCCCTGTCAGTTTCATCCACAAAGTCGATATGGACAAAGACAGGATCTAAAAATCACAGAAAGACAAAGGTGACTAAGTGGACAGGTCAACTGGATCATGTGCCTGTTGAAACAAATTCACAAAATTAGAACAGGTGATTGGGTATTCCCTACTGAATAGGGATGCCCTGATCACGTGATCGGAAATCAGGCCGATCACAATTTTCCGTTCAAGAAAAATTGTTTTTCATTTTCTGACATTTGAAATCTCACAAATACAGGCGCTCCCCGCTTTACGAACTTTCGTGTTGCGAACAACGGTACATACGAACATTTTTGCGGGTACAGGTATGTCGAAAAATGTTCTCGGACAGAGATGCTGTCAGTCACGTATTGCGCGCCTTTTTCCGGTGGCTGTAGTCCTTCTTTCCGCCGCTAATACCGACGTGAGGCGCTGTGAGAGGAAGAGGAGGAGGAGGAAACGCTTGTCCCCATGAAGAAGTTCGAGACGGAACTCTCTCCCCGTCCATCATCTCCTTAAGCCTTCGAGTACATCTTCCAAAAGTATGTTAAACTTCATTTTATTACACTTATATAAGCCTTAAACATACAATCCATACAAAATATAGCACTGAAGCAATTTACGTACGAATTCAACCAGCGAACGATCCTTCGGAACGTATCTCGTTCGTTACCTGGGGAGCGTCTGTAATCCAAAAGTATAACGATCTGGTCAAATGGAATAGTAATAGTTTATCTTAATGTGACACAATTTTGGGGGGGGTGGGAAATGCTCGCCAGTGTCGGTTACACCACCACGGAGTCAAATGGTCGACGCTTACTCGCCGAAGCATGCATCGAACAACTATTATCTAATTGACCGTCAACGTTCATTTTTACTTTTGAACTTCGCATACATTATTTAATCCCAGGAGTGAAATCAGTACTTTTACCAATGTTGTATGTCCCGTATTTTCCGCACTAAAAGGCGCAGCTAAAAGCATTCAACACTGCGACTTATAATCCGATGTGCCTTCTATATGGATCACTATTCCGATTTCTTGGCCGTAGTATTTTAAATGTACTGTATAGCGCTTTGTTACAGCTGGGGCCGTTGTGAAAGCTCTATATACAGTAAAGCTGTATTGTATTGTATTCTCTTTAGTGTGGCTCCATCTAGTGGATGCATACCACAATCGCAGCCACTATTGTAGCCTCTATGTGCCCCCTATATGAAAACAGTTTTAAAATAGGCCATTCATCTTATGCTCCGAAGCGCCTTATGATGCGGAAAACGCGGTACTTATTTTTTCCACCAGGATTAGGACTGCGCTTAACTTATTTACAGAGTGCAATTATTTTTTTGCTGGATCTGCTGTTTGTTTTTACCGAGACGAGGGGACCTACCTGTCATCCATCCATCTTTAGTTCTAGTCCCTTTATAGTACTCTGTGGTGTGCATTAGCATCGGTCCAGGTGAAGTTCCGTGTACCACTGTTGCAGCATACAGATCCCCCCCTGTTGGACACATACATAGGACCCTATTCCTGTGCCCAGCACCAAGCGCAGTCTAACTGCGTGCATGGGTGGAGTTTTCTTTCTTTTGGTATTTTTGTACAGAGGTGCAGGTAGAAGGGGGCGTTTGCACCGTTGTGGGAGTGAACACAGCAGACTTAGTCCCAGGCCAATCAAACCAGTTCCACACATTTCCTGTAAATTCAATGTAGGAGGGGCGCACACTCGGGCTTTGAGTGTGTAAAGCGGATGTGGAAGTGTAAAGACTCGCTGGAATCCAACGTACGATGTGAAGGAACTGGAAGACCTCCAAGAGAGAATGATGTAATGTTGGGCGCAATATTATAGTATTTGGAAACTGCCTTCCACAACCGATCGGTGCGTTCTTGTGTGACACCCACCTCCAGCCCAACACGCACGCACAACGTATTTATGACGTGACCGGAGGGTGATTTTAAAAAAAATTTGAAGATGATCGTAATGCGTGCCATGAGATGCGCATGTCGACAAAAATAGGGCCAATAGAATCGATTCCTGGAAGTGAATGACCAGCTCAAAGTATTTGTTTCGGTATTTTGTGCTGGTCCACCAAAGCAGCACACCCAAATACTCACCAACCATGACGGAAGCATATCCTTCAAATGGTAAATAAGAAGCACGCCTCTGTCCATTGAGGTGTTTACCCATCAGTTTCAGCTGTCCTCCCTCGTAAGTCTGAATCATAAAAGAAAACACATCTTACCGCACTAAAGCGCAACCTAATATATATATTTTTTAAAAATATTAGCTTACAGTAATTGTGCGGATGCTGAAGAACACCTTATTCTGCACCACTATTTCCCTCTCCCTCCACTTTGTCTTCCGGTTAATTTCTCAACCAATTCAAGCCAATCAAATAATAATAATATAGAGAGTAATCAGAAAATAAGTAAATAACTCTTATTTACTTATTTTCCGTGTCTTGAGATCGTGACCCGCCTTTGAATTTTGACCGCACAATCATTGCTTTGTGGTTGTTTTTTTGCACAGAGTAATTATTTTGAGGTTCAAAATTCTAGTATGGACATGTTTGAAACATTTTTTTTTCTGTAAATAATTGCTTTGACTTATTTTTACATTCATGTTGTTGCAATTGCTCGACAAGTTTTTTTTTTAATTGTTCTTTGTCATATTTGCTTTAGCATTTTGCTTCAAAATAACCCAAAGTGCAATAACGACTAATCACACTCATTTACTGAGAATTTTTTAAAATTCTAGTTCGTTTTCTGTCTCATATTCACCATTTCTTCCATTTTAAAGAATTTCCCAACGTTTCAGTTCAGCATCGGCGCTTCAGCTTTCACACACAATTAATTTCAGAAGACATTTTGTTCTGAATGTAGTGGCTCCTAATTGAATCGATGAGCCATCAAATCAAAACATTTCACATCTCATTTAATGCCGTACATGCAGGAGTGCCTCTGTGCAGTTCTCAAAGCAGTAATGATTTATTGTACGCCACTGAACACCACGCCATGACTAATTTTCTAAAGGAATCTGCACAGTTGTGTGCAAAAACGTAGTTGTCAATTCTTCGGCTATCATGTTCTTTCGAACAACTTATTTGTTAAACATTTACAGTCTGCAATTCTAATTCAAGCCAAGCATTTTTCAAGTCTTATCAAACGTTTATTTTCAACTCACCAAAGAGTCACACAGGGGATCAAAAGCGTTGGAGCCACACACGAACATCGTGGTACTGTGCACGTTGTGGAGGGTCCGAATATAATTGTGACAATTCAGCTGCAAAGCGGAGCCAACGTTATAGCAGAGTCAAAGCTCAAACAGTTCTAGCTGGAAAAGTATGCCGAAATACATTTTTTTATGCTACACTACCAGAAACCGAAGACTTGACACAAACCTCCCTGTTGGGATGACCTCGCATGCATTCTGACTTGTCGGTCGCCGGCCAGTCCACCTGCAGCAACGCAAACGAAGTTTCTTGTCCAAGTGTCAAAACCAAAAAGATTTTGTTCCATTGTGTACTCTCTGATCACATCATTAAATAACAAAGTACTTGAAAAGTGAAAAAAAAAAAACATCCTTCCATGTAAAGGCCTCATGCTAACACAGTATATTTGATTGTAATTTCATGTTGTAAAATGTCAATTTTATTCGTATGTAGTTCAGTGATTCGCTTCGTGAGTCGATTAGCGGAACACTTCATTTTGTAAAGTGGTAACAAGGTAAAAGGTCAGCATGAGATTGGGGTGTGTTTGTCCGATATGAGATTCTCGGCCAGTGTGTGGCAATGCGTGACACGTCGAAGGCCACGCCTTCCGTGTGATTGGTTGTTTTTTACCGGGCTCAAATTAATTAAATCGAATTAAATGCAGAAGATTGGGCCAGACAAGCCCTTTTTTTTCCACAGATCATTTTTTTAAATGTACTTCACTCAGTCTATATATATTTGTAAAAATATGATGAAAATTGATTTTTTTAAAAAAGAAAAATATTTCATGGAATTTTTTTCCCCTGTGTTGGCTACCAAAATTATTTGTGGTGTACCAGAAAAAAAAAAAAAAAAAAACCCACAGTGTACTTCTGTGGTTCAGAACCTCTACGCTGAAAAAACATATTGTACATGTTATCCTTATCTTTTTTTTTTGCCTTTGAATTTCTTATGTAATTTTGTTCTGCTGATCCTGGTCTTACTTAACTTGCAGCTGTGTCCAGTTATTTTTTTTTTCATCTCTGTATAAAAGCGCTACGCAATCATTATCAAAACTAGTATTGTGTACAAGATTGACAATCAACATTCATTTCTTCTTTCTTGAACACGGCGGATATCAAGTCAAGTACAACTTTATTGTCAATATGTACTTGGATATGGATATGTACTTTTTTGACAATTACACAAGAATACAGTGGAACCCAGCCGCTGGGGGGCAGTGCCCTCCCCTGGGGGTGCACTGTTCCCCAGTGCCGGTCCCAAGCCCGGAGAAATGGGGAGGGTTGCGTCAGGAATGGCATCCGGCGTAAAACTTTTGCCAAGACGACCATGCGAGTTGGTAGGACGGTTTACAGGGGCGGATGGAAATTACTGACTCGCTGTGGCGACCCCTGAATAGGGACGTGCCGAAAGGAGAAGAAGAAGAAGACACAAGAATACAGTGGCATCAAAAGCGTGTCATGTACTTTTTTGACAATTACACAAGAATACAGTGGCATCAAAAGCGTGTTGTGTACAGAAAATTTTCCACTCACCTCAGCCATCTTGACAGAGATGTTATTGATCTCCAAGGCAAAAATGGCATCTCTGGCTGCCACCACCAACACTCCCAGATGCTCCATAATAAGCATGGTATTGTAGTCGTAAATCCCATCCTTGCTGAATGTGTTCAGATCTAAACAAACAGCACATGGCGTCCGCATTAGCAATAAAAATGTACACCTAAAATCAGAGACTACAGAAACTTACCCTGAAGGGGCACAGTTTGTCGTGGGACACAAGGCTGAGTGTCGGGTTCACAAAAGGAGGCATAGAGCATTAGTCCGCAGACAATCCTCAGCATCAACACAGGTAACATCTCACAAGAGTCCTTGGTTGAGCCTCGGTCTCCTGTAAAAAGAAAGACAAGCTAGCCAAGCCTTTAAACAAGGCACGTTCCCTTTGTCCCTTTAATTTCTTTACCCCACCAGCCAATTCGGAAGTCAGAATTAATGATGCCACACTTTAAAGTAAAGCTTTGAAATACTTTCACCAATGACGGTTGTTTCTATGCAGGGAACATTTTGTGTACCACAGAGAGAGATGATGGACATGAGTCAAGGCAAAATATAAGTTGCCAATTTTAGGACTTGCTTGATTAAAACTTAGTTGACGCCAGAAATTTACATACAGGATATAAAATTACACAATCATTTATTTTCCTCACTGTCTGACATGAAATCACACCAAAGCTTTGCCTTTTAAAAACATTTTTATTTTTAGGTCACTTAAAATGACCAAAATGACTTATATTTGCTCGTGTCATGATCTGGATTTGTGGATTTCATATTTCTTTTAACACGTGTTTCATGCTGTATCTTGTTTTCTTGTTGTGTGTCCCGTTTTACACTTTTGAATTTTCCATGTGACTTGTTTTTCTTTTTGATTTTTTGAGAATACATTATTTTTGCCGGGTGGCATGTTGTCAAACTGGTTAGCACGTCCGCTTCACAGAGGTGCAGAGTTTGAATCTGTCTCCGGCCTCTGGCTCCGGCCTTCCAGTGTGGAGTTTGAATGTTCTCCCCGTGCCTGCGTGGGTTTTCTCCGGGTACTCCAGTTACCTCCCACATTCCAAAAACAGACATGGCAGGCTAATGGAACACTCTAAATTGTTCCTAGGTACGATTGTGAGCGCGAATTTGAAGGCACACCTGATACGCACTACTTCTTTGTGTGACATCATGGGAAAGTCAAAAGGAATCAGGCCATCAGGAAGACAATTGTTGACATAAATAAAACTGTCATTATTATCATCTAGGGACAGACTGATTATCACCCACGCCGACGATCAGTCCAGATATTTTGGACCAATATCAGCATCAGGCTTTTAAAAAAAACTGCTGGCTGATAAGAGTCACATTAATGTCACATTAAACTTGGGCAAACCTCAGGTAATAGGTAATGATTGGGATGCATTTGAGTGGCATCCCCATAGGTAAGTTTGCTTATTACACCGGTCTTATTAAGGCAAGTATAAATGAGAAGTACTGAGTGTGGCACTTACATTGGACTAAAACACTAAATGGCCCACATTTTATTTCTCATACAGGGTTGGAGCTGAGTAGATTAAAGTCTTCATGGTACCCACAGATGAGAGAAAGAAACAACACATCCAGCCCATCGAGGGATTGGAGCTGTCCATGGATCTGGTTACTTGCCCCCCCCCACCCCACCCCCAGTGGAAGGTGTGGAAAATACACTTTCATGTTCCTTCGGAGGTTCGGCTCCACCGAGACTTCCGGGTTCCCAATCCATTCACAATAAAAGCAAGCTATCGAAACTTGATGTTGAATGCAAACTGTGTTTGTAGCGTCAAACGGTCAATCTTAATCGTAATTATTTCAGTCCAAATGTCATGCCGTAAAATCGAGTTCGAAAAAAAGTGACTTTCATACTTCGGCCTCAAAATAATACCCGCATCTGCGCTTGTCTACACGATTTTCTCTTATCTTTCCTTTTATGTTCGTGGGTTCGTGCGGTTGAAAACGCTATCCGGCCAGTGTTCCCACAGACCTGTGCCGAATTCAGCAGTAAATTCATATGCATTGAAACTTATTAGTAAAATTATGTCAAAAAATACATGTTGAAAGAAAAAGGCTTTTTACCACGAAGGGAAACAGCAGTTGGCAGCCGAGTTGAAAATCTGTGGTTGTTCTTTTCTGAGAAATGAACTGGCTCCTTTTCACCAGCAGGTGGGGTTATTTAACCACAAATCAATACTTTTCATTCGGACGAGATGGTTCAATGGTTTTCAACTGTCTTTTATCCACGATCTTTTGGCATTGTGCCTTGTGTCTTTCTATTTTTGTCCAACTTTCCCTGGTTTGTTGACCCTCTATTTTGAAATGTGGATATATATAAATTGAAGCCGAGGTTAGCCAATGACTGTGAAACGTACTCTTCCATCCAAATTTCCCTCAGGAATCTTTTGGAAAAAGGATTTTTTTTTTTTTTTTTTTTTGCATGCCGCATGTAGATGTGTATCTTTCAGAGAGCCATTATGATAGCGAACTCAAACAAGAATGATCGCCTCATGTTACATCCCCATCCAAAACTGCTTACCTTTTCAGCAAAGTGATGAGTGATTAATTTTGAAGTCTAGTAAAATATGTTTGTTCACAATAAAGAGAAGACTATTTGCAAATTGCCTCCTGCTGTATTTTCTTCGCCCCCAAAAATAATGGCGGAATTGGTCTGCTGTACTCTCGACTCAATCGACAACATTTACTGGGCGAGAAGAACAGTCAGTGAGAAGCTTTCTCGATCAACACTTAGACTCATGCAACGAGCAAAGTCAATTACAAGGTGGACTTTTGTAGTTTCGTTGCAAAATGGCCGTCACGAGGAGCAGGTGGCGACTTGCCTCGAAGAAGTAATTGATAATTTGGCTAATCAATGCCCTACTGAGAGTCACGTGCTAAAAACTCAAGTTTGACCAAATTGCTGTGAGCCTGCTGCCCAAAGATTTGTGATCTGGACATTTCATTTGGATGACAATGGGTGCTTTAAACAGCTGCTTTTGAATGCTAGTGTCCTCTTATCTCCTACCCCATTCTTCCGGCGTCCTGGCCTGAAATAGCCAAGGATGTCTCCATGGCAACCCGACGATATACTTGGCGAACCAGCTGAGGGCGCTCTGACACACACACACACACACACCCACACACACACACACACACACACACACTCACACACACACACACACACACTTGCACACACAATGACAATAATGTCCTCTCAAAAACATGCTGTGATGTATGGGAGATTTTTTTCCCCCCATATGTAAGGTGAATATTTGTGAACCAAAATAAAGATAAATGCAACTTTTAATTCATATATCCACCATTATTTATTTTATTATACTGTCTATATCGCATAATAGCTTGCTGTTTGGAGCCCTTATGTTGTCAATGTCATTCATCAAAGGTCCTGAAAGGACCATGCTTTTATTTTGGAGGGGAAACTACCGGTACTCAAATGTGAACGGATAGATTCTGTAATATTGTATTCCGTCACTAGATATCAGTAAAAGACCGATTATGAAAATACACGACTCGTCTCGCAATGCAGTGAATTTGACATTTCTCAATTGGTGGTGCTGTTAAACCGCAAACACGTGATATGTAAAAGATGATCGACGTGCATGATAATTAAAAACAATTTTTTTCCCCATGATTTCTATCGACAGTTCTCTTAAGAATGCAATTGGCCTGAACACACACACACACACACACACACACACACACACACACACACACACACACACACACACACACACGCACACACGCACACACGTAGAGTTCTCCGCGTTGAGGAAGAGTTGATTTTACACATACACAATACTGTACCTGTAAATTGCTAAATCAGACAAACGGATGGTATGAGTAAAATGACCTTTTTATGCGCACGAGTGAAAAGAGCGTTTTGGTTTATCTATTTATCTATCTATCTATCTCTCGACAGTATGTATGTCAGTTTATAAGTGATTATTTTATTTATCAATAGGGGCTGCGATGTAGCTCACTGTGGCAAAAAAGCACATACAGTACTTCAAAATGAGACTCCTTTCCCTTCATAAAGAGTCAGTGCTATCAACATTGCAAAGATCTTGTTCTTTTGCTTTGGCTCGTTTGCATTCACTGACACTGAAAAAAAAAAGGTTTTATTGAATTTACTCGCTTTTATTTTGTCAAGTGGTTTCGCAAAATGTAATCATGTGGACATGTAGTCCACTTAAGATGATATAACTTTGTGCGACCACCTGATGAAATAAAATTATGTGAATTAATTTTTTTTTCCAATGTTGTGCTTTCGCCAAAATAACTTGGAATGGTTCAGCAGAACACCAGCGATGGCAACATCTCAAAGATCTCCCAAAACGGTTTACCCATGTGTCAAACCTAAATTCCTCTCTCATATAAAATTGACAGTGCGCCATCGTCCCTTTGGCATTGTGTGCACCCGCGATCCTCGTGAGGAAAAGCGTTTGGCTTATGGATTTTTTTTTTTTTTAACTGGTGCACTCACCACGACAGAAATTTGGCAATATTTATGTATGTATGTATTTTTACAATATATATGTAATCTCTCTCTCTCTCTCTCTCTCTCTCTCTCTGTATGTATATATACATATATGTATATATACACACACATTTTTTTCCCAGGCCACCAGTATATATATATATATATACACACACACATTTTTTTCCCAGGCCACCGGCCTTCGTGTGTGGAGTTTTCATATTCCCCCCGTGCCTGTGTGGGTATTCTCCGGGTACTGCGGTTTCTTTCCACATTCCAAAAAACATGCATGGTAGGTAAATTGAACACTTTAAATTGTCCCTAAGTGTGACTGTGAGTGTGAATGGTTGTTTGTCTATGTGTGCTCCGTGATTGGCTGGCAACCCGTTCCAGCCGATAGCCCGAAGACAGCTGGGATGGGCTCCAGCATATATAGCCTATCCAGCCTCATGAGGATGACGGATGGATATATTGCCGTTTTCCGAGCCACTCTACACATCTCTACAAACCCAATTCCAATGAAGTTGGGACGTTGTGTTAAACATGACTAAAATGAGCAGACAGTGATTTGAAAATCTAGTTTAGCCAGTTCAAACTGATAAACTTGTAAAATGTTTTTAGCAAATAATCATTAACTTTGAATTTTATATCTCCAAACTGAGAAAGTTGAGGAATGCTCATCAAACACCTTTTTGGAACGTCGCACAGGTGAACAGGCTATCTTGGAACAGGTGTGTGTCATGATTGGGTATCGAAGGAGCTTTCCTGAATTGCTCAGTCATTCACAAGCAAAGATGGGGTGAGGTTTACCTCTTTGTGAACAACTGCGAGAGAAAATAGTTCAACAGTTAAAGGACAATGTTCC